TCATATTCAACGATATCTGTGAGAAACGGAGACCGACACTTGCCTCCTACGACTTCCAGGGCACGCTAGTATCTCTCTGCCATCGACTGGTTCGGACACGACTGGAAGAGGCTCATACTTTTAGCATAGTCCAGAAAGCATGTCTTTCAGGGTTGGCGTGTTACATCAGCAGCCTGATGCTTCAATTCGGTCGTCAACGTCACTTGCGTTGCGATCTGCTTCGACACGAACTTAAAAGCGTTATACAAGGGGCACTAGGCAATTTCTCATGCTCGGCTCAAGTCAGACTTTGGCTGCTACTTTTGGGAAACATCTCTGTATTTGAACTAGAGGATGATTCATGGCTCCTCCCTCTTCTGCACCTGGAAATCAAAACTTTGGGACTACAGGACTGGGTGCAGATTGAAACAGAGATGCGACAGTTTCCTTGGATAGGTTCATTTCATTGCCCTCAAGGCAAAGTAACATGGGAAAAGGTTCAGAATCTTCCAGTTAACCGCTCATAGGAGTCCTTAGAAATGTGGCTCTTGTATTGAGCTTTCAGCAGCTGAAAAAGAGCAACCCAACTCGTGAAGATATCAACCGACCAGGTTCTTCACACATCTTGGCTCAATCTGTTCTAATCTGGTTGCCAATTGATTCCAGACCATGTGCTGAAACTTTTGCCCGCTCTCATTCTTTACCCACTCGGGCACCCAGTGGCTGTGTATAAATTAGCATTTATGCCCATCCATGCTTCATAATGTACACTCACTCTTTGATCTGGCAATCTGAGATATACTGCCCATGGCTTTCTGTCCCAGCAAACATGCTATGCAAGATCGTGCGGCTCCCCATCTCCGGAGTTCTTCCAATCACCGCGTTCATCATCCAAACCTGAAGCCGTAGGGCCATTCTGCCATATTTCGCCAGACCGGTGTTGCAAAGCCCGGGATTGAGGAGGTTCAAGACGACGCCGGTGCGAGACGCTGGTAGGATGGTCGCGAGTTGTCGGATGGCAAGTATCTGAACCAGCTTGGTAACGGAGTATCTGCAGTCATTCAGTCAGTAAGCCGTTTGTATGCCGCCTTTTGTTTTGATGAGTGAAGAGTAGCTAGAAGAGTTGTGACGTACCTTTTCTCCATGGGAGACTCTCCTTGGGTATTCAAGACATCAAAGACATCCTTGTCTGCGTATTTTAGAAAGTCCGGCTGCGTGAAACCAAGTCCAGATGTAACAACCGCGATATGGGGTTGCGAGTCTGAAGTCTTGGCCGTCTCCATCAACTTTGGATGAAGAAGCAGTGCCAGCATGACTGTGCCGATGATGTTAACAATAATACTTGTCTCCATGCCTTCAGCTACTGTCCACTCATCCAGGGCTGCAGTGGCGTTCTCAACCAATCCGTCAAGACGGCTGAGCTCCGAAGATGCTTTCTTCGCAAAGGCTCGGATGGAGTCATATGATGACATGTCAAGCTGCCAAACTTCGGTGACATCCGGTCTGTCGGTGGAAGCATCGATGCGAGCCTTTGCATCTTGACCTCTCTCAATGGATCTGACGGCGAGAATCACACGAGCTGATCCAAGGTTGACAAGGTGCTTGACCGCTTCAAAGCCAATGCCAGAGTTTGACCCTGTAATGACGTAGGTTTTGCCAGCACAGGTCTTCTTTGTTGGGATGATGGGAAGATTTTGTCGCTGAGCACGAATGAAGCCTATGGTATCCATGGCGACTTTGGGAAAGATTCAGGATAGAGTTCAGGGCAAGAGTAGTCGAAAGGTAGGTTTGGTATGTCTGCCACTTTTGCATCTCCCGTATCTCGAGCGACTCTCATCTTTTCATAGCTGTTGCTGGACTCTGGCAACACTCCTCCGTCTCGGGGATATCATCATTTTCCTGTTTTTTCGGAATCCGTACAGCATAATCTCCGGTGTCTACCTGGAATCTCAAGCGTCATGTGCACTCAAGTCTTTCACTTGTGGTACCAAGACGACGCATCTGACAGGAGGCTTCCAACACAATCCCCGCCTTGACCAATCAGAGATTTGTTGCCTGATTGGGTATGGTAGCTGCGGAAGCCGTCCCCACCAGATGATCCACTGACGGCGATGAGCCGGCCGAGTTTCCGCCGCGTCTCCGCTGTTCCTCGGGTGCGTGGCTGTCGCGATTCTTTTGATGGCATCTCCTTATCTCACTTCCGGGTTTGGTCTCGAATGCTCCCCCCCTTCACTGTGGCCATGGCACAGGAGCCGCAGGCCTGTGGGTTGAAATCGGTCGATGATCCGGCGATCATGGTCACTGAAAGAATCCGAGTGGCGCGCATTCGTTGACATCGTAATAGATATTAGTTGTCTTCAAAAAGGCCCGACCAGATGAGACCATGTACGGCACATTCGACCTGTCATGTCAATCACGAACTTTGACCTTTCCGTATTGGACGCAGTAATTGACGGCGAAAAGCCGACGGCGGGCTCAAAATGCATCCGTCCGCTTGCCAGCTGTGGCCGGGTGGCTTTACTTAGGTAGCCACAAATGTCAAAAACATGTGGGCAGCATCTCAAAATACGTTCCCCCAAGATCGTAGCCCTAATTTGAGCCGTTTTCCTGTTCTAAGTTGCAAATAAAACATCCTCTATACACAATTAACGAGAAGCATGAGGCCCCGCTCGAGGGTGTGCATTGCGAAGCCTCCAGATGCTTGGGGCTTCAAGCGTAAGAGCACACTATGAGACTCAATCATGGATGCAATTGTCAATGGGGCTGGTGCAAGCTTATTCACCGCGAACATTCGAGAGCTATCGGGGACTAATTGACCCCCAAAAAGATCGGTGCAAACTCCGGAAGGATTTTGGTTTAGGCCTGAACATGCTAATTTACCTCCGGCTCGGACTGCCATCGTACCCGAAAGGGCCGCATCCCGGCCAACAATGCCAAAATGCCCTGTAATTGGTAGGTCTAAATAGTGGGCTTAGAAATCTTGCATTCCATTAGTCAGTGGGCCACCTGTGTCTTTTAGTGAAGTCCAGGGGAGTGGGAGGCCGAACCCCACGACGAAACCGCGCGCGTGCTCTTTGTTGGCTTGCAAGACGCCACAGGGTCAAGCCTGAACTGATCTGGATCCGCTGACGCATCTCGGAAGCAAATGCTCATACTAGCCATGGATTATCGATCTGTCGATGTCGACATGGACATGGGGTTGAACTTCAAAGGCGTGATCGGAATATTAAAAAGACCTCATTTCTTCCCCCAAAACCGGTTCACTCCTCTGCATCAGTACTCAAGAACATCAACATCCTCCCTAAAACAATATACCTCAGCCGCCAAAACTTAGCATTCCACCACCCCAATCACCGCAAACGAACGAAGCAGTGGACTTAAATCCATTGCCTAACCGACGTCTTACATCAACCTCAACTATACAAACTATCAAACCTTTAGTCGTTATAAAATGTCTGGACAACAGGGACGCAAGATCGCCATTGTCGGTGCCAGCGGCAACGTTGGTGGCGGCACCCTCAAGGCTCTCCTCGCCAAGGGCATCCACACTATTACCGCGGTTACCCGCACCGAATCAACTGCCACGTTCCCCGAGGGTGTGATCGTGAAGAAGGGAAGCTACGAAGACGAGTCCTTCCTCGTCTCCGCATTCCAAGGCCAGGATGTCGTCCAGCTCGCCCTCGGCTTCTCCAGCTATGCAACAGGTCAAGAGCCTCTCATCCGCGCCGCCGCTAAGGCCGGTGTGAAGTGGATTCTCCCCACCGAGTACGGCTCCGCGCCGGACCCTTCCAAGCTGCTTGACTCCAGCCCTATTCTCCAGGGCAAGATCCAGATCCGCAAGTTGGTTGAGGAGCTCGGCTCCAACTGGATCGCTATTGTCAACAACCCCTGGTACGATTGGTCCATGGGCGCCGGTTTCTGGGGCATCGACATCAAGAACCGCACCGCCAAGCTGTACGATGGCGGAAAGACCAAGTTTATCACTACCAACATTGGCACCACCGGCAAGGGTACCGCTGGTGTTCTGAGCCTGCCCGACGCCGAGCTTGAGAAGTACCGCAACAAGCCTTTCTATCTTAAGTCGTTCTACATCAGCCAGCGCGACATGCTCGACAGCATTCAGCGTGCTACTGGTACCACGGACAAGGACTGGAAAATTGAGGAGCCTGACGCCGCCACTGTTGTTGCCCAGGCCGAGGAGGCTGCTAAGAAGGGTGACCATGTCGCTGGTCTGATTTCCTTCTATGTTAACCATATGAGAGCTGGCTGGGGAGGTGACTACAATGACAAGGTCACTGACCTGACCAAGATTGGTCTTGAAGCCGAGGATCTCGACGAGACCACCAAGAGAGTTGTCAAGGAGATCGAGGGACAGTAGTGCCGTATTGAGCGAAAAATGTCCTGCACTTCAAATACAATAATACATACATCTAAGCATTGTTCACGTCTTGTCTCGAAGTCTGAATGTGACCACAGTTCACAAATGTAAACAGGACGTTGTAGTGAACTTATTGAGATGCTGTGAAGCCGTACTGCTAGTTATGTGTCCGATGCCTAAACAGCAAACAAAGCCTCTGCCTGTGGCCTTCTAACATATCAGGTTTTTAATCCACCTAGAAACAAAAGCCGTAGCGGCCGGCATGTACCATTCCGACATGAAGAAACTACCCATGGCGGTAGTATCGGCTTCGTGATTCTCCTCAATTTGCCTAAACTGCGCATATTCCTGGCTACTCAAACAGCAGCAGAAGCAGCAGCTCATGATTCTCATCATCGAATCCAATATACTTATCAGCCTTGCAATGATGTGGGTATAGGAATTTGCGAGGATATGGCGCATGACTAGGACTTCACGAAGCAATGATGGCACTTCACTGTGTCGATGCCATTGACACCAGATTAGGGGTTCCGCGGTGCGTCTTCATCGTCAATATATATGGGGATAATGGAATGAGATGACTGGTAGAAGGTACAGTATTGCGCCGCGTTGAACTCTGAATCTAGTGTGCGATCCACGACGCTCATCCCAAAAGCTTGCTTTGTCTCTCTAAAAACAAAACCTTTGAGCGGTCTTCCTCGTATGTCAGCAGCTTGTCTTTCATAACGATCTCACGGTTCTCCGCTTCTCCTAAACGCCACCCAGAGCCATACTCGTGCTCGTCCTGGTGGACATGTTCGAGCCACGAGATTCCATATGCGTTTCTCAGCGTCTGCGCCATCATCACCTCCACAGAGCACCAGCCCCGATCGAAGTACTGGTCATCCACGAGACTGATCATTGCGTCGCACTGTGCAATGATCATGGGTAGTGCCGAGATACCGGCACTCGGCTCATCTTGATCAACGCATGCAAAGTCCTGGGAAAGTGAGCCTCATTTCCGTTGTGTGAAAATCAGAGCAGGTACAACTCACCGTCCAAACTCCTAGCTTGTTCGGGTCGACCGTAGGATAAAGGCACAGGAACTGCTCGACCGCGGTTTGCATCCGCCGATACTGCGTGTGGGCCCCGTCGTCTGGCGACTTGGCGCCCGGCTCCTTGTTGATCCACCGGTACGAGAAGAATATCACAAACTCGGCACCGGTCTCCACGGTCTCGGCCGGGCGCGACAAAAGCTCCCGCGCCAGCCCGTCACTAGACCTCGGCAGCCTGCCAAACTTTCTAAAGTCCTCCCAGCGCATAAATTTGAACACGTCGAACATCTTCCCCTTTTCGCCGTCCGTGGCGAGCGCGTCGGCATACACCCGTCTCACATCGCGCACCTTGTCCCCGCCCCCGCCGAGTAGCGTGGGCCGCATGTGCTCCTGGAACAGCTCGCGGTAACCCTTCCTCAGACGGGCCTCGGCCTGCCGCTGGGCGATGTTCGTCGCTCCTTTCTTCCCGAGACCGTTGAGAACGACCGCCTCGGTCTCCGTGTCGCCGTTGAACACGACGTGATCCAGCGCTGTGTGCCCGTGCTCGTCGACGATTTCCATGTCTGCGCCGACGCCGACCAGCTCTCGTAGGTAGCCGCGGTGTTCCTCGGACGTTTCCCCGGGCGTAGTGACAGATCGAGAGCCGTGCTAAGCCAATTGTCTCCCATGTATTCAGCATATCCAAGTGTGTAATTCTGACATTCGGGCCACTGCGTTTCTCGATTTCCCCCTTCAGGCGGCGCGCACTTTTAACTCGCTCGGCGAGTTGCTTGATCGCCAAATCTAAAAGCCCGTCGTCCTTGCACTGATGAGACAATTGGTAGTTTACCATGCCCAAGTTTCCGATGGCTCTGCACATCTCCTGCTCGAGGCCAAGTCCCCTGGCGGTATCGTATTGCATCTCGAAAGCCCGCTTCGCATCCTCCAGACGGTCCATGTGCCGGTACATAACGCCCAGCTCGCCGCTGAACTCGACTCTCTGCATGCTCGGTTCCATCTCCGTGGTGGAGCTTTCCAGGATGTTCTTGGCCGTCTCGTATCTCCCGAACCGTCTGTTGGTGTTGCCCAGCTCGCTGAGAACCAAGTACCTATATCTTCTGGCATTCGGGAAGGACTTGTCAGACTTGCAGAGCTCGATTGCATTGTTGAAGGAACGCAGGGCATGTTCCCACTCGATGCGTTGAGCATGTTGTCTACCCTCGTTCATGTGAAACTCCCATGAGCGGACCGCCTCAACCTTCTCTGCCAAGGCAAACGGGGTGATGCCCGCCGGGTCGCGGAGCTGCGCGAATGAGTTGCCGTTCTTGGGCCCGAGGACACCGGCGTCTTTGAAGAATCCCCGATGAGAGTCAAAGAAGAGAAGAGTAGCGTGTAAAACATCCGGGCCTACTTCGGTACGATGGAACGATTTGGCCGGGATTGTATAACTACTATTTCGCGTATGGACCGCTTCTGCCGTCTCCGTTGCTCGCACTAGCCTTCCGGTGTTCTGGACAATCGAATATGCCTGGTGCGTCTTGTATGCGGCGCTGTGACTCTTGCTATTGGCATCGTTCCACGCAAGCGCGTACTCAACATGCGTTGCTTGCTCGGCCTCGCCGACGGGCTCGACTCGATATAAGAGGTCTTTCCCTTCTCCCGCCAATATCCAGCTCTGAGCAAAAGGCTAGTGAGAGTGAAGCGCGAACTCCGTATTGCCACGCATGCCATCCAGTAGCCAGACGAGGAGACGGAATAGCTCGTCGATATTACCGTCTTCTAGAAGGCTACAGAGGGGCACAGCTAAGGACCCTTGGGCGCTCCGGGATGCCGTAAATAAATCGCGGGTGAGGGCTTTGCAGGTAAGGGCGCCGTGCACTAGATCCCAGCATCGCGATAGCTTGTCCGCGTGGGCCGGCCGATCCTGCCGGCATGTCTCTCTAAGAAATGCGATGGCGAGGGTGAGACTGGCCAGTTGTTGCAAATCTTCGCCTTCGTCTTGAAGACCGACTTCTAGGCTACGCTGCCATTCATCGAACGAAAGACCTTTCACTCCACCTTCGCCGTCCGGATCCCCCGCAGTCGAAGCGGATGAGATCCACCGCTTAATCGACTCTACTTCGGATTCTCCGGTCTTGGTGGCAGTTGCTACGCCCTTAAGAGCGCGAAGAAGAGATGATTGCCGTATCTTCATCGTTGGCAACATTTTATGACTGCTAGGTTGTAAAAAGTATCATCGTCTGTCAAGCCTCAATCGCAATCCGTCGATTATTGGTAGATGGGTAGCGTTCAAAGCCTCAATGTTCTAGGCACCGTTGCCACGTATCGACTGCTAAAATGGGCGCTAAAGTGTGGAGGGAGGGGAGGAGGACGAATCAACGCACCTTGCTTGATCCGGAACATGATGATGATTAGCGTTGGATAGACTCAATGATAAGTTGCCAGAATTCTTCATAAGTGGAGAGTTGGGCCCACGAAGCTCAATCGATCCTTGTTGCGGGGCTAAGGATGCAACCTTGGGAGGTTTGAACCCGGTTCCAGGCAGGCTGAGGTCTGGGTCGGGAGAAATGCTGAATGAAAGGGCCCCACGGTTAAGGTAATTGGCGTAATGCCGTCAGGTTCACTTTGTCCAGTGGGCTGAGAGTGAATGGAATATCACTATGGTGAAAGAAATAAGGGCCAGAGAGTCCTACCCGGACATCCTTGCATTGTTGCATCCTTGGGGCACCGGTTACGTACCTTACTGATTATGTTTCTTGGGACTGCATGTCTACCATTCAACTTGACCGCGACTTAGCTTGTTCGTACTTGGTTACAGTCGCACGAAGAGGATTGCTAGAGTGCTTTAACCCCATGCGAGTGATGTTGTATGTACTCAGCATGCGGTCAAAGACTCGAATACAAACCACAAAGTGATGCATGTGGTGTCCAGCCCTGTTGGGAAGGTCGTTGGAACTCAGGATCTCGCAGCAAGCCCGTTTACAGTCTCTTTTCATTACAGTCGACATGGCCACAAAAGACTATGGACTCAGTTTAAATAATTGAAACTCATATTGAACTATCACCGAGACTCCGGACCGAGAAACCATCGGTACCAATCCATGACATTGACTCATACATAGGATATCTTGTTACAATTGATGCCGCCCTTCAAACCACGATCTTGCCAATGTAAACCCGATCATAGGATACATCCCTTTCCCATCCGTCTCATTTGACCCTGAAAGGTACAACTATACTCATCGTCTAAATGCGAGCAGTGGAGTTGGAGCTACCGGCAGAGCCGCCAACAAGCTTGCTGTTGAAGGCATCGGCAGCAGCCTGGTCCTGAGTGGCCGCGGTAGCCGCAGTCTCAGCGGCCTTGCAGCTATCAATGGTGGCCTGGGGAGCCTTGCAGCTGTCCTGGAGACGCTGGCAGATGAAGCCGGCAATGACGCCAATCTTCTGGGCAGAGCCGTGGTTGAAGTCCTGCTGGTTGGTGGCGATGAAGCCAGGGCCCTGGCGGTCCTTGAGGGCGTTGGAGAACTCGATGCTGGGGTCGCTGCAAGAACCAAAGTCGGAGGCCTGGCGCATCCTGAGGGAACGTCTGCGCTTGCCGATGGCGGCATGGCACTGAGTGTTCTGGTCCTCGCACTGTTGGACGCCGCCGGTGAGCTTGCCGCTGTTGGCGGCGTTGGCGCAGGCGTTGTGCTGAACATCGCAAGAGCGGCCGAGAGCGGCGTTCTTACCGACGAAGGAGTCGCCGTTGACGGAGAAGGGACGGGTGCCGGAGGTCTGGATGACCGGGGGAGGGGCGCCGCCAAGAGAGCCGGTGAAGGTCTGGACGTTGGTGCCTCCGGCAGCGTTGCCGGTGTTGCCGGTGTTACCAGTGTTGCCGTTGCCGGTAGAGTTGTTGGCAGAAGCCTGGGCGTTGCTGCTGGTGGACCGAGCAGCGCAAGCAGCGGCGTTCTTGGCCTTGTTGTTGCCGGTGTTGTTGCTGCCGCTGTTGCTGCTGCTTCCAGTTCCAGAGGTGGTGTTGGCAGCTCCGTTGGTAGCTCCAGTAGCAGTACCGCCGCCGGCAACCTTGAGGCCGTTGATGTCGATGTGGGTAGCCTTCAGCTCACCGGTGCCGCCGGTAATAGTCGACTTGATACCAGCAACAGCGGCGTTGATCTCATCGGGAGTGGCGTCGAGGACAAGAGTCTTGGTAGTGAAGATGCACCCGTTGGGGTCGTTCTGGTCGTCGCAAGAGTTACCCTTGAAGGTGGTGTCTGTTTTCTCGCCGGGGGCGAAGGTACCGCTCTCGAGAGCGAGCATGGGGTCACCGCCAATGGAGGCGAGCTGCTTGGCGAGCTCAAGAGTGACGGCCTTGTTATCGGCAGCAGCGTTGTCGGTGGCGGGATCCTGGTGAGCCTTGATGGCAGCGATCTCGGGGTTGACAGCGGTGTCGGTGCAGGCGGCGGAGGCCACACCAATACCGGCGGTGTTGCGCTCGAGGGAAGCGTAGACAAGGGCGCCAGACATACCACGGATATCCTTCTCAGCCTTGGCGTTGGTGAAGGCCTGGTCGGCAGTCTCCTGGTGCAGGCAGGCGAGGTTGGTAACCTGTCCAGCTCCGGCCTTGGCAGCGCCATCGCCGAGAAGACCGAAGACGGGGTCGGCGATCGCCTTGGGGTTCTGCTTGTTGAGGAACTCGCGGGTGATGTTCAGGAAGATCTCGTGAGAGTGCTCCTGGGGAACCTCACGCTTGGCCATGCGGCGAACATGGTGGTGGCGGTGGTAAGACCCAGCCTCGGCGAGAGCCAGGAGGGAAGAAGCGGCGAACGCAACAGCTTGGTACTTCATGTTGACCGAAATTGATGATTATCAACGTCGAGTGAAGTTCGAACAGAAAAGACCGGCCTTCTGCCTACAGTTTTCGACTGAAGTAGTATTGAAAAAAGGGTGGTAAAGAGAATAAGGCAAAACGTTAACGCAGAGCAATCAAAGCCGATGCAAAGAATGGAATGAGTTCTCAGAACTCGTGGTGAAAGAATGAATCGAAACGGCGAAGAGAATGTCGTACGAAGATGAGAAGCTATAGCCAAGAAGAATAGATCTGGTGCCGAGAAGGAGATCAGTCAAGTTTATAAAGAAAACATTGGATGGAAAAGATGATCAGAGCACATCCCTGGCACATCATTGAATTCAGACGGTCGAGAGCATGAGCCGCATCCTTGGCCAGCGTATGCCGGCAAAGCGGAGGGATGAGACTCAAGGAGGTCACTCGAATGGACCACCCCGGGGACGACATCGAAGGGTGTGATACGACACGAGACGAAGTGAGTCGGTTAGAACGGACCAGAAAAGATGGCCAGGTCCAGGAAGCTGTTGGGCCCGAAGCCTTGGTCTGGCATGTGCAGGGGAGGGTAACCTGGGGGTGGAGGAAGAGTGACAAGACGCGACAAACGTCCACGTCTGAGTGTCATGATGGCCAAGTCAACCGCGAATGAGGCAGTAGAGTGAGGATTTCACGACAAGGTCGCCATTGTGTCGACCAGGGACGAAACCGCTCACAGCAAAATTGGCTGTCGCTAAAGATACGCGTGTGTTGTTGTTGAGACCAGGCCGCTCAACTATTGCGACAAGGGTCGCGATATGGGCAGAGTTTTCGGATAACGTTGCGACGGATTGGAGGGGACAAACTGCAAGGCGGCAAAGAGTTCAGACTCAAGACAGCGATGTGTACGGCAAGATGAGGCGGAAGATCAGACAAACCGAGCCGCAGGATGTCATAGAGCGAGTTTCGACCGGGGTGTGGGCGGTAATGTTTTGGGTCGCTCGCTTCTCCCCCATGCGTCACATCGCTCGCTCACTGGGCCCCGCCCCCCACAGCAAAAATGCTTGATTCAGTCTTCCCGCCAATGATCGCGTCCCGCGAGGTCCGGATCGCGAAGTCGCCGGCGGTGGCTGGTGGGTAAGGGGTCTCTGCCGCAATCTGCTTAGGGCTTAGCGTAGGGGTCTGCTATCTCTGTTGGAGAAGCTGTGCCGTGCTTTCGTAGGCGAAATGCACCTCACCGTTGCCATTTCTTGCTGAACTCGGTTGAAGTTCCTGGAGGGCGGTATGCTGGCGGCTGACAAACCTGAAATGAAGACATCAAGACCCCTCGGGGGTGTGGACCGGGGCACCCTTTTCGGCATGTCGCACCGAACAAGATCTATGATTGAACGGGTCTTCTGGCCGGTTTACCTGGTCGGACGTGGCAACCAAGGAATTAACGTGTACGGTTAGATAGATTGCCCCCCATCAAAAAATGACGGGACGACTAAACTTCGTGGAGGCTAGCGCCTGAGCTTATTGAGGCTTGAACTGGGATGTTCACACCAGTCTTTGGAAACTAATGTTCATATTTGAGTGTCACCAAGTCAAAATACCGTCCTTTGAGTTGATAGCACACCATCTTTCTCTTTGAGTTTGTGTCCTCTTCTGGGTGACAACCAACATCCGACATACTTCGTCCATCAGCCCAGAACTCTGATCGAGTCTGCCGAGAAAGATGCTCGCCAGGCTCATGCGGCAGCGAAAGTGGGCCACGCTCCGTCGACCGCCATAAGATCTACTGTTTCAGACGATCGCAGACTTCAGACGCATCAGTGCCAAGGAGCAATATCTCAGACGCTATCACCATGCGGCCCTAGCCACCCTCGTGCGTCATGTGCGACTGGCAGGCTGTCATCCCAGCCATGCATCCATCGCAGCGGGGTTGACTCACTTATTGACAGGCACTCGTCCGCCTCCATTCCTCTTCACTCGTGGTATGATCTGCCTCGCGCCTTCGGAATTCGACCTGGGATGAATTATGATATGACTCGAGCTTTGTCATCCACCACCGCGAACTGTTCAATCGGACGAGCCGGCGACCAGACGATTCAGCGTCTGAACTCGGCCTCATAAGACGGTTGCGCGATTTGTTATGACCCTTAAGAGGTCCTGATAATCATCCTCAGTCTGAGATGAGATGCGGTTCATCACTTGTCATGCTCCACTGACTCGGCAAGACCATGCGCCCCAAGCATATTCTGGCGCGTGGGAGTCGACCCTATTAATGTGGCTTTTTCCTTTCCCCAGAGCCACCGGCAGCACTGGGATGAAATCTCAGGTGTTAGAATCCAGAACCAGCTGCTGATGGTGATTGCAGGCCGCGGGGTCAACGAATGAGGTGTCCACTTTGGTCTGGGCTCATTTCACCTCCGCATTCATGACTGTTGCTTGAAAGATCACACACTCTCAGAAGCAGATCATCAGAGTTTGTCAACCGCCACAATACGATGCATGAGCGGCTCGTCTCATGCTGACTCCATTTTTCGAGTATTTTGTCTGATTGAAAGCCTCCGACCGTTGACCGACAAAATGGCATTGGGTTCCGCCAAAATGCGCAACTTTGTTCCCCACTCATGAGAATGTCATCCTATTCGACGCCTTGTGAGCACACGAAACGCTGTTCTTCATCAACCGTGTGATGAACTGCCGTTCATGCCCCATGACGTGTATGATTCGTGAGAAACGCCAAGTGTCCGCCATCTGAAAATGGCAACTATTCCCTGCACATTTCACTTCACATTGGCAACCTCTAACACTTGGCGGCACTGGGGATTGCCTCGTTCTCGACGGCCTGGGCAGAAAGATCTCATGTACAAAGAAATTCTAAAGTTACTCACTTCCTTCAACAAACGTGTGGGTATCATTGGTAAGCTACTGCTACGATCAAGCCATATCTACACGAATAGTGTAGTCGTCACCTTCTTGTGCGACAACAGTTACGGTAACACCCCAATCCTTCACGGTGTATGTGCTCGCCCCGCCCCCATTGAAGGTCAACGGCGCGTTGTCAAGCTCGTCATTGGCGCAGCTAGCCGAGCCCCAGCCTTGGTTTCCATCTAGAACGCGAATCGGGCCCTCTCCCGTGGCAACGTCCGTTGCCACTGTGTACAGCAACACGCCTGTGGCACAAGCGTTCTCGTCGTTGCCATTCTTCGACCGAACCTCGGCTACTAATGCTTCTCTTTCGTTCTGCTTAACGACGACAGCCTTCACGCCACCCTCGGTCTCCACTGGAGAAAGCTTATGGGTTGTCGACGCCGATGCATTCCCAGCGCTGCTTCCGGCCGCTGTGACTACGCACTCAATCTGGTCGTCCGCAAGCCAGCCCAACCTCCACTTGTTCCACGCGAAGTAATCCGGACTGTGACCACCAACATTGGCCATCATATCCCAGTTTCCCGTGTACAGGCCAGTGTAGCCCGATGGCAGCGGGTATAGATCTGGAAGGCAAAAGGCGTGCCCCGTTTCATGGTTGAGAGCTTTGTAACCCCATACGTCGTAGGTGTCAAAGCCTATGGTGACAGCCTTCCTGGCGACGTAGTTGATATCGTAGGTATACACAGAAGAAGTAAGAGTGGCAGAGAAACTGATAGCCGTCGCGTTTCTTGTCGGGATGATGTAGAGCACATCCGTAATTGGGCCTTCGGTGCTGTTAACGCCCGGTACTGGTGTGTTGGTGATCTTCAGCCATTCTTCCAGGGCATCCTTGATGTAGACTTGGTGCATCTGCTGAGACAGGCCTCTCTCGAATTGATAATCGGTCGCCTTCTTCGGCATGCGGTAAAATCGCGTCGTATCGGCGGTGACGTTCAATGACAGCTTGCCGTAAGAAGATTTGTCGAGCCACTCTGCTGTCTGTGGGAAGAAGACATCGTAGGCTTCCTGGGGTGAGGCTTCGGATGCGGTCTGGTCGGGAAAGTCGATGAAGAGCATTAGTGCATTTAAAGTGCCTGTGCTAGGCGCGCAATCGTAGTTGTAGCCGAACCCCGAGCTAAAATACACGCTTTGGTTCGCTGCGAGTTTGCAGGATGAGCTGTCGGCCCTCCGGGCAATCGATGGCACTCCCGCCGCGGATGCCGCGGCCGAGAGGAGCGCTGCCCCGTAAAATGCAGATGCTATCGGGGTCTTCATGTTTTCGGTGGAACTCCGAACAGGCGTCTCGGACAAACGAAAGACAGTAGGGAGATAAAGGCGGATTCCCTTGGTCTGGGGGACGACACTTATTATTTATCCAAGATCCAAGATCCTTCTACTGTCTGTTCATGGTCTTGGGGCTGATCCGAGCCACCGTGCTAGGTTCTATGTTTAGTGATTTAATCTCCCCATGTGGGAATACGAGATGAACATCAGGCGCGAGCCAGGATTTCATACGGGCTGCCCGACCCCACATCCGGACTTTAACATAAGCATAACGAGGTTGTATCCACCCGTCGGGTCATGAACAAAATGACGCAGTCGAAGGCAAGTTGCGCGGATAAATATTTTGAGGTTTAAATTTGAAGATCTAGCCGGTTTTTCTGTTTTGGGAACCTCCATAGTAAAGCTCAAGTCTGTATGACAATTAAAGCCTAGCTCTTGGAAAGCTTGCACCAGGTTGGAGACGCACTGATATGGGTAATCGGTGACCCAGATGCTCTCGATTACGCGACACCGGCTACACAGATGGAAAGAGGTCTTGTAAATCAGGTTTTTTTTGGATGTGCAATCTGAAATACAATATGCTATTATCTAAGTCTCGCCGGTATGGAGAGCGACATCATCTCCCCTGGGCATCTTTTTCAGAGTTTTCCTTGATCATTCTGTTTCCTCAAGTGGCTTCTGTCCGCACACAATGTGGCTACAACAATCATCAGCGTCTGCATTTGCATGTTGGGAGGGCCAACTTACGTCTCATAATAAGCGTGGAAAGTGTGCATGTCCTTCAGCTCTTTTCGAACCTCGGCAAGTTGCACAATGGTCTCCTCCTTGGTGAAATTGAGAACACCACAGAAGACTCTCATGGTGAAACCCTCGAGACCATCAGTCACGCATTTTAAGTTCAGCCACCCCAAATTCTTGTAATAAGGGTCCTTGGGCCAGGTACCTAGCGGGACTTTGCACTTCTTGTATGTCATGTTCTCGAACCCGGAATCTCTCACCCAGCCCTCCAGCTTGGCACCCGGGCGGCTCTCGCGGCCCGTAGATGCGATGCCGTCAAGAAGAGATTTGTTCCACTTGTATGTGGCGTGGTCTTTGGTCCAGGTTCCGTCATCCGAGAAGTAATCTCCACTAGGTTCGAGGAATTCAGCCCAGCCTCCGGGGTTCAGATTTCTTGGGAAAGGCACGTTAGCCAGAGCCGAACCATCTTCTACGACAGGCGTAGAAGGCACCTACTCGTAGATACTCTTCACCAGCTTTGGCCAGTCTTTGATGGATCCCATCATCCAGCGACACACAATGAAGTCGTATTTTCTGTCGCCAAGCCAGGGGCTTTCAACATCGTCGACTTCAAATTTGACATTTGGCGGAGTCCTACATGCCCCAAAGTTAGCAAGGGCATCTCTCAAGCTGGGACTTGGAAAGCTCACCATTCTGGTTGGATGGCGCTGAGGTCAACTCCGCATATCTAGCCTTTTATTTAGTAGCCTCGCAAAAACATGCTGAAACTTGCGATGGAATGGAATTTTCGGTATTAAAGGGTACATCACGATGGCGATCAACTTACTTCTGCGTTAGGAAGGACGTCGCCGGCTTCAATTGCCCCTATCTGAGGTCAGTGCATCCCATTCAGAGGAAACTTTGGAGCTGATGCACTCACAAATTCCTGTCCCGGTTCCGATGTCAAGGACTTTGTGAACGTTTTCCTCCACGATCGGGGCGACGTATAGTTTGTCTCCGAGAACCATTGTAGTGAGACTGTGCGCAAAGTCAAGTCGTTCCATCTCATTCTACTGAGGTTAACGTTGCCGTAACGACTCCGACGATATAGCGAGATTTACCTCATCATTGGGCATGAAGTATGCTGCAAGCTATGTATCAGATCTTTCTTGAGAGTCAAAACCTCAAAGACAACATCAAATGACTTACACCCTGAGCGAAAGGCATGGTAGCGGCGACCGTTCTCGATGGGGTAGTCGACCACGCTGGACGTTAGCGACGCGGTGTAGGACGAGCTGCCCGGTCTATCAGTAAAGCGAAACCAATCGGATTGACCAGGAGATGTTACAGCTGATCGTCTGTTGAAGAACCAGTCTCTGCATCCTGCTGGTTTGGTTAGAGCCGTCGCCCTTTGAAGTCCGAGGGTGTGGCAATGTGGCGTACCTGTGCCACATCGTCAGGCACCAGCTCCTCTTGTTCATCTTGCTCGTTTCCGACGGGAATGGAAGGCCCGCTCGGCGCGTGCCGCGGTGGACCAGTGAGTGGGGTACCGCTTGGGGAAAGATTGACTGGAGCCAACCCAGCTTCAGGTTCGTTATGGCCAGCCATGACTTCTATGGAGTTTCGAACCGTTTTGAATCAGTGTATGACGAGAGCGACCAAACGTTGGGCGAAGTACGAAAGTGAGGGATAAAGAGAAAGTTTCGAGCTTTGGGGGCGGGAGGGGAATATAATGGTTCGTGTTGGGCGGTTGGACCAACTCTTGTTGGTGCAAGGTGTTGGAAGTGACCCAGCCTTGCGCGTGCAATGCACATGGATCTTTCGATCTTCAACCAATGAGTAGAAACCGCGTGCTTCTTCCCCTGCTTCCGGTGTAGGATAATCACACAAGCTCCACGTTTGCCCAGAAACACTTCCCCCCTCTTTACTGAGAAAGGCAAATGCTCCATAACATGGTTGCATTGTTTACTTAGGGTCACGGACATTCAAGCCGCCTCCGATCTCATAATGGGAAATTTAAATCGAATTCATGTGATTATGAAACTCATAGCGGCTTCCCATTTACCTGCTTGCGATCACACTAACTGAGCCACGTACACCTGCAGTATGCGACCCAGATGACAACAGATGCTATTTGAGACTGGTGTATCTAAACGCCAAGATCTGAGTAACAGGAAGGCTGCACGAAAGCACAAGAATAGTGGATGCATTCGAATTGCGTTGTCACGGATGCCTTGAACTGGGCTCGACAACAGCCTCTGAATGCCTATGAACATAAGATAGCGGTGAAGGTTTACCCTGAAAACATTCAACATGACTAGAATGGGACCCAAGCTTCGTCGTCGGTGTTGCCGTCTTTTCACACCCAGCAGTAGCAATCGCACTGTCTATCGGATCGCCTAAGGATAGTTAATCTCAGCTTGCCACCAGATCACTTGCGTACTTACACATATCCGATAGAAGCAACTGAGGGCTGTCTCTCAACGGGGCACTGACTATTGTCAGTAAGCTCTTGAGGGGGACATCTGAGTTAGACTAACCTCCTTCTGACAGCGTGAGTAGCACGTCCAGTGATCGTATTCAGAACAATTCGCAGGCTTAAACACTGTTAGTTCAGCACATAAGTCTACTTTCATGAAACACAACTCACCCCCCATTGGCTCAAAGGCGGCTTGTTGTTGCACAGCATTTGGGCGATCTTGGCTGAGGCGATGCCATTCAGCATGAGTGTTGTGGCCACAATGATCAGCTTCATTGTGGTGTCTTGCAAGCGTATTCCAATGTTCCTGGGGTATGCACTATTCTCTGCGTGTTCGAAAAGGCCGGCCTTATATGTTCCTATGTTTCAAAGCCGGGGCCCCTTTTCTCATAATGACCTGAACTTTAGAATGACTCGACGCACGTAATAAACTAATGCTCCTTGGCAGAATGAACTTTGTAGTCCACGGTTGAGGTCCTTGAGCTACCTTAATTCAACTCTCTCTAGTCTGGAGTGTCACCCGAACCGGTCACAATTTGAATTATTGGGATTGACTGAAGTGGAACGATGCAAATAGCATAACTAGGATTAAATTTGACGAGCCCATTGTAGCCTCTCCTGTCTGTTCTGCGGTGGGCTTCATTAACGCAACTGTCCATAAGGCACTTCCTTTAACTCAACAGATGCTATAGGCTTGAATCAAGATAGCTTCAACCGGCTGCTTCAATTCTCTCAATAGTTCTGGAGCAGAGGCGGATTAAATTCTAATCCATCGGACGAACCTGCCACGTCAAGCGCGATCCGAGCCATCGGTAGTGATCGCGTTCTTCCTCGGGCGAGATCCATCCTGGTTCATCATGCGTGACTCGTCCAATACAAAATTCTCAAGTATGGTTATTAGCAAGGGGGCCGTTTGGAATAGGCATTTGCGATTCAGTTGCTAGAGGACTGACGTGCCACCATAACTGTTTCGGGAGAGATTGAGTGCCGTGTGCGAGGGTGGTCAAATTAAGCTCGGCATCTGATTTCCAAAGGGAGGCTACTTTCGCTGAGGCAACGCATTTCTGAAGCGGCTGCTCGTGAAAAGTTTACCGGATGTAAGCTAGCGTCTTGCTTCAAGCAGTTCACAACTATAGTGCCGAGAACTTCAATCGAAAGCTTCAATGTTCAGATCTCACCGTCTCAACTTCTCTCTGAGGCATCCGCAGGCAGACCCGGTCCCAGTCAATCCGGTGTATTTTTATCGTCACGGGAGTTTATTGACGTTAAGTTACTGTTTGGAACTCGAGTCAAGCGTTGGGGATAGCGGCTTTATGCCGTGTCCAGACTCGCCTCCGGTGCAGAAAATGCACCTATGACGCTCGGCTGTTTGTTAAGATGGGGTGGATGGTAGCGCGTCGTGTATAAAGACACATATCACCCAGACCATCTGACATCAGTGACAAAAGGATACAATTAACTTCCATGACTGGATCGCCGCTTGGCCCTTTGAGGGGTGTCGCTTGAAGCTGCACATTCTACATTTCCATATCTAGCCTGTCTGCGCCCGAGGCATTTCTACACGCAAGCTCCGTCCGTTGATTTGGTATCACCCTTCCATTTGAGACTTTCCTACGTTGAACAAGCTTTTCTAGAGTCAATCAGACGGCTGAACAGAGATTCCGAAGACAATATGTATCACCCCAGGTACATCGAAGGGCTGAACTGCTGCAATAGGGACCCAGGGATATCATTACCCGGTTGCAAAGCGGTATGGTATCCGGTATGATCGTATACTTCTATCCATAATGTTTTAGCCATGCTTTTGCCAACTCATATCGATTGATCACTTATTCGCAACGCGGAAGCCTGCTTCTGTGCATCGATAACATCGGTTTTTCGAGGCAAAATAAGACAATCCAATCATCACATCAACACTCATACAGATCACACCCTTCACCGATAGACGACGCTGAGAACAATTCTCGGGAATACCAGGCTCATTTCATTTGTCTATATGATTTGTATCTCACATAGGTGTCTATTCCCAGCTTTCCAAACAATCATCACCCCTTATTCCCGAGGAAGCCCTCTCGAACGGAGGTCATTGCTCACGTACGGGAGCTCAAGGAGTAACGTGGAAACCAACACAGGGTGTTCCGCTAGTGTTCTTGCAGGCCGAGTTGGCTCTGGCAATGGAGTAGGCGTTCGACCCAGTGCAAGAGAAGAAGGCCGAGCACTTGAAAGCCACGGAAAAGCCGGCAGCCCAATCCCCGTTGGACGCCTCTTCAGCGAAGTCAAGGAAGCAAGTGGACTCGAACTTCAAGGGCCCAGCGGCCGAGATCTCGCAGTTGCAGCCGACCACATCGGGCGTGCCACCGCTTATTCCACCGATACGGGCAGTGCAAGTACCGGAGGGCTGGCCAGGGTTCTTGATCGGGTCGGTCCAGGTTCCGGAGATGTAGATCTCGCTGCCGACCTTGCCTCCGAGGGCGTAGTACTTGGCGTGGGCTTCCCATTTCCCAGCTGCACGAGCATCGAGTTCAGAACCTGCCGAGCTATATTCGCGGTTTTGATCAGAACTTGTTCATCAATCCTACTCAGTTGTAGACATACCTGCGTGGCTCTGTGCTACCCATCTCAGTGGGAACGGCGCTCGCAAGAGCAGCCAGGAAAAGAATGTGAGTAGGGTTGAAGTGCATCTTTGCGGTCAAGTTGCGTGTTGGATCAAGCGTAGAGCAGAGAGTGTGTCTTGTAGGGAGTGAATGAGTGTGGTGATTGAAGCGTGGAACTGCGGCTGAGGAGAGATTTCTTAAACGCCCAAAGGAGGACGACAGCGCATGTTCTTATACGTCCCATGGTAGGCTATATCTTGACCACAATCAGTGTGTCCTGGAGACCTTAGCATCGGCCGGATGTAGATAGTATGCTGTCCATCTTTTCTTCTGCCTAGGGAAATCTTGTTCACATCTCACTGTCGAGTCACTGTTTACTCAACCTCAAATGTCATTCTCATCTTCGGGTGCAGATAGTCTGCCAACTGGGGTTTCTTCTGCCTGGGCAAATCTCAGTGCTATGTCAACCTCGAGTCACGGTCTGCTGAACGTTCAGTGCTACTGTTATGCATCTCAGGCTTAAACCCAATTGGTTCTGGAATCTCTGCCATGATTCACGGCTCTGCCTGATTCATGGCTCTGCCGAACTTCCCAGCCACGTCGTTCGGAACTGATTACTGATGAAAGCATGCGCCGAAGACAAATATTATCATCGCTTTCCAGAGCCGCTACTCATCCATCAAGGTCGCACATAACATCTCCAATGATTTTGAAACTAAAGGCTTCAAATATGTCATATCATGCATCATGTCACCGTACGACTTTAATACTTTGAAAGTCAGTCAATCGTTCGGCCAACCAACATAACATCTGCGTGACAATTGCCGTGTAGCTTATCCGTACAGTCGCGAACCTTGACTTGCGGACTGAAAAATGAGCCAATCAAACAAACTTCTGATTTTTGACATGCAAACCGTCGAGGACAAATGGAAGTTATCTCCCTATTTACTTGAATCGTAAGGTCTCCGATTAAGTGCGGAAAAAAGATGCAATTTTTTTTAGATCGATGGATACTGCTGATACGCATTCATATTTGCGAGCGGGTCGATCTTATTTCCAGGGCTTCTAGCGTCAGTCACAAGCTTTGCGCTAGCGTCTACCCGCCGGTGGTCAGGGGATGCCCTCGGTCTTTCAGTGAGGCTGGCAACTTCAAAAGTGCCCTGGCCCCGAGCCGCCCGGCTTGCCTGAGGGGATGATCCTGCCTTGCTGAAGGAATAGAGTTCCTGTCAGATTGACGCTTGTGTCTGGATGAACACTTCATTGCCCTCGTCTTTATTCTTCCTCACTTCGGCAAAGCCGAACGATTCACTCTAGCCCCGGTGGAAATGCACAACAGGCGGCCGACTTCTGATGGCAAACATACAATTGCTGGCGGCATCGAATGATTTGGTTCTGCTGTACTTGTTCGGAGCTCCACCTGCTAAGCCGACCATAACGGGACCAGGCAGTGAACAATGAACGGCTACTGGCAACTCTGCTTGCCCCCACCGAGCGAGGATTCATCCACGTCAACGATTACCGAAAGCGACGGGGAAATGGGCGACGTCTGGAACCACATGCACAGGAAGACGAAGAAAACTCAAAATCAGTTAAGGAATTCAAATCTATGTCTCGGTATATGGCGAAGCTTTTGCAAATTTCACGCAAGGCTTGGGCCTTTCAAGGCTTACTCCTCAGCCATCCCATGCTCCTCCGCCACATATTCTTCACCCTCCCAATTTCAGCCATGCGTTCTCGATACTTCATGCTATGAAGAACGACCTCCCTCATGAGCTGGTCAACTCCCTCTCCAGTTTTGGCTGAGCAGTCAACATAGGCAACTGCTCCAATCCTTCCCTGGATCTGAATCCCCTATCAAATAAGTGATTAGCTATCGACGTGAATACAGACACTTAATGTTGGTTTTACCTCTCGGTGATCACACGGCTGATTTACTCCGTGAACATCTTTATGTGACCGAAGGTCTGTCTTTGTGCCCGCTAGTATCACTGGTTTGTTTGGAAACAGTGTCCGAAGTCGCGGCGCCCACTGCTAAGAGTTAACGGTAACGCTCGCTACTGCATGGTTGGTGCTGTGGAGTAATCATTATGCGCTCTGCTTATTCACTTACCATGGTGTCGATGTCTGGGATGAGATCAGGCTCGTCGACAGCAAAACATAGCACGATGCAGTTTATGCTGTCGGCAATGTTGTGAATCGCGTCGGGAATTAATGCCTCACTTATCGGCCCAGGAATATTCCAAAGCACAAGCTCTACCGATACTGTTCGTGATTCAAGCTCGATGGAACATGCTTTGAATTGTGGGATGAGGGCACGAGTGAAGTCATTCTATGAGATCTCAAGTTAGCTTGAGATCATATCACAAGAAGCTATCCATTCCCGATCTGAGCAACCTCGAACCAGATACAACAGCCAGAATAATCAGATGCTTACAATATCTGTGAGAGTATCACTGCCATGGAAGTAACGGCTGAAAACATACTGTTAGCGACACTCACAAAATGAAGATGGATAGGCTTGTAAACATTGACTCGCAACCTTGGCACGCGCAACATACGCACCTAATGAGTGAGGTTTTGCCACTGCAAGTGCTCCCGACGAGTATTGCTCTGACTCTCGGGAGCAATGCCGTTGATCTGTCTGTTCTAATTCGCAACGGGCAATTGCAAAGTTTCCCAACAATAGCTCTTCATGCCCCCGCTTCAGATGAAATTTTACAAGTTCGGCTTCCATCTCGTCGTCTGAGTCTGATTGATCAGCTGCCGAAACCGAAATAAGTGGAATCGAGTGGAGGGAGGGGGCCCAGATCAGATCTATGTTTGACGTGCTGGCGACCCAAGCACGCGTGTTTGGGTCAGGCTCGAGGGGCCAAATATCAGATCCGAGGCTGCGACTGACTCGGCGGCATCAGTGGAGAGAGACCAAGAAGATGCGGTTGACGCGAGTTTTGCTGAAGATTGGACACAATTCTTCATATTATTGAGCGTTGACATTTCGCTTTCAGTGTTCTGAGAATGGACACGTTCCTCCAGAGCTATCATGCGCTCAGATACATCCTCTGCTAAGCGACGGATCGCTGTCGTTAGCTCCGGAAGGCCCGGCAAAAACAGTGGCCATCCGAAAATGTTTTGGTCTTTTGTCAGGGCCTGAATCCATCTAGGAGTATAGTAAGGACATGACATGGTCAACCTGCCGAGAAGTCTGCAAATACTCACATCAAGACGGCCTGAAGCGAGACGGATATTGTTTGCCGATAACAAGATAGCTGGGTTTGACAGACTGAGATCTCTTCCCAAGATGACTTCAGTCTGAGAGCCTTCCTTGTCGAATCCATGAAATCGACGGATTGATCAACTTTCTCCAACGTAAGAGCAAATTCCGACATCATCTTCTCACCGTCTCGAAGGCATATTGATATAGTGTTCCAATGACTGATCAAATTCCCCGTCGCATGGAAAAGTGGTCGGACTTCGTCTGACTGTAGCGTCCCCTTCATCGACTCTAGCATGGCCTTAAACATCTCCACGTCGCTGATCAGGATCCGCAATCGTCCATCGATGCTCCGGGAAGAATCTACGAGTTCTTTCAGCGACGTAATGATCTTTGAACTGGTGGCTATGAGGCTGATCACCCCAAGGGTGATGGAGAACGGATCCATTGTGAGGAGCTTGAGAGATCAGGTCGTGCTTTCCGTTGACGCAAGACGCATGCTGTCGTGGGCGATGGAACAGTAACACCGTCACAAAAAGAGCTTCACTAGGCTTCAACCTCTCATGCGGATACCATTGCCTGGAGTTGGAATGCGGCGAAAGTGAGTGTGTACGGTGCTGTCTCGACCCTAGAGGAAGTCGCCAACATAGGCATGCATACTCGGAAGAGTATGAGGGGAAAGATTGCAAGCACAAGCTGGACAGCAGTATGAGATAGAGGAGGCCAACTGAGGTCACGTTGGCCCAGCTTTGTGGCTTGTCGCAGTTGCGGCAGGCTGAGCTGAAAAGCCGGCAAAAGTCTCACTAGTGGGTGTGGTTGCTGCAGGCTATGAACTACTTGAGGTCAGTCGCATGATCCTTCTAGGCCGCGAAAGATCCTTAGCGATTGGTTCACTTGATAGGTTGCACATTCTATCGCCTACTTTCCTGCATGCATGGTCCTTGGTGTGCATCCGCATACGCCAAATATGTAGTGTGCTTATCACCGGCTCTCACCACGTTCCACACCACCTCTAGTAGCTGAGTTCTGCTTACACTCTGTCAAAGTCAAGGTATTGGAGAACCAAACCAATGCGGTCGAAACAGCATTTGTGTGAAGGCGTTCCTATGAAATTGTAAAGTACGTATTTAATCGCTTTGATAAAAGGCGCAATCCATGCAACTTTGCAACTGCGGTTCCGCTTCTGTGACAATGGAATCCTCATCTATCCACCGATTTAGACAACCTTAATGGAATTTGTGTCGACAACGGCATACAATCACCTGTCATTACAGTACACTTCCATATCTGACAGAAATACGACTTCGTGGTTCCTTCTGCTAAAGAATACATTTCATAGTTGACTGGAACTGGAAAACAACTTGAGTCCCTACTAACCTGTTAGTGGCGCAGTCCACTCGCACCGAACAATGTCTTCCCCACTGGAGGCCGTCTAGTCTAGACGTATACAATCATACCACTCCCCATATCTTTAAACTTGATCTTCACCGAAAGCATCCGCCAACAATCTCTCCTCCTCCGCCTGATGCACCTTCTTCGACCCCGTCGCCGCCGCCGCCCCAGTCCCCCTCCCAGCGTACACGATCCGACTGAACTTGTGATTCCCCGACTCCGATGCCACCGTCTCCAGCCTATCGCGCATGTACTGCCAAGCACCTCCGTTATATGGTTCCTCCTGACACCACACGATCGCCTGCGCGTTCGGGTACGAGTCGAGGTTCTCCTTGACCTCAGCCCACGGGAAGGGATGCAGCTCCTCGATGCGCGTGATGGCTGTGTTCTTGATGCCATTTGCTTCGCGGTGTTTATGGAGCGAGGCGTAGGCTTGGCCGCTGCAGAGGATGACACGGCTGATTTCTTCTCGGGGTAAGATGCTGTTGCCGTGCTCTGGGTCAGAGAGGACTGGCTGGAAGGTCGATGTGCCGGTGAGCTCTTGTACAGATGATCGTGCCAGGGGATGGCGGAGAAGGGATTTAGAGAAGAAGATGATGAGGGCTAGTTATGTTAGCATTCCGTCTCCCCCTGAATGTCTGGTGAAATCAACTTACGCTTCTTATAAGGCGAATAAATCTGCCGCCTCAACGCATGAAACAAATTCGCCGGCGCCGTCATGTACACAATCCGCACATTACACTCCCTCCTCGCCCTCTCCAGATCCTCAGGCCACGCTCTCGGATCCTCACTCCCCAGCTCCAGAAACCTGCCCAGCCTCGCCGACGAATGTTCCGGTCCCTGGCCATCATACCCATGCGGCAACGACATCACAAGCCCGCTCTCCAACAACCACTTCGCCTCGCCTGAAGCAATGAACTGGTCAATCACAACCTGCGCATTATTTGCAAAGTCGCCAAACTGCGCCTCCCACATGACCAGCGAATCCCGGGCCGCGAGGGAGTACCCGTAGTCGAAGCCCAGCACCCCGAACTCGCTCAGCGGCGAGTTGACGGCGGTGTAACACGCGGGTTGGCCTTCGTGGAGATGGTTCAGGGGCGTGTATTCAGCGTGCGTGGTTTGGTCGTGCAGGACCGAGTGGCGCTGGGAGAAGGTCCCGCGCTCGACGTCTTGGCCGCTGATGCGCACTGGCTTGCCTTCCAGGACGAGAGAGCCGAAGGCGAGGGCTTCTGCGGTGGACCAGTCGACGACGCCGGCGTCGAAGGCTTGCTTTTTGGCGGCGAGGATACGTTGGAGGTTGCGGTGGAGGTTGAAGCCTTCTGGCACGCTGGTGATTGCCTCGGCGATGGTTGAAAGGGTTGCCTCGCTCACTGCCCTCGATGTGGACAAAGGTTCGGGAGTGGCTTTATCTCCAGTCTCCAGATCTTCAACAGGCAGCTTGCTCCTCGCCAGCTTCTCCTCCAACTGCTCCCAAACCCACCTCTTCTGCTCCTCCACCACCTCCGCCTGTATCGTCCCCTCGCCAACCAGCTTCTCAACGTACTTCTCCAGTAACGCCGGCTGCGCCGCAATCCGTTTGTACATCTCCGGCTGCGTGAAGCTCGCCTGGTCGATCTCGTTGTGCCCGAAGCGCCGGTAGCAGTTGACGTCGATGACGATGTCAGACCGGAACTCGGCCCGCCAGTCGGCAGCGAGCTTGCACAGGAACACGACCGCCTCCGGGTCGTCGGCGTTGACGTGGAGGATCGGGGCTTCGATGTACTTGGCCAGGTCGGAGCAGTACGGCGTCGATCGGGAGTCGGGTGAGTCTGTTGTGAAGCCGATCTGGTTGTTCACCATGAGCCGCACCGTCCCGCCGACCTCGTACCCCTTCAACGCCGACAGATTCAGAGTCTCGTATACCGGTCCCTGCCCGGAGAAAGCTGCGTCCCCGTGTAGTGCCATGAACATGACCTTGGACTGGTCCACGTCCCCCTTGATCTCCTGCACAGCCTTCGCCTTGCCCTGCGCAACAGGGTCAACGGCCTCGAGATGCGACGGGTTCGGCAGCATCTCCACACCGACCACACCCCCGCCCGCCGTCGTCCTCTCGCCCTCCATGCCGAAGTGGTACTTCACATCACCCGTCTGCCCGCCCTCCGTATCAAACCTCTCCGTCCCCGCAAACTGCCGGAAGAGCGTCTCGAAGTCCTTGCCGTAGACGGTGCTCATCACGTTCATCCGCCCACGGTGGCAGCTCCCGATGACGATGTCCCGCACGCCGTGGACGTCAGCGCAGCGGTCCATCAGCGCCGCCAGGCCCGGGGCAAGGCCCTCCGCGCCGTCGAGGCCGAAGCGCTTCTCGTTGGGGAACTTGGTCGCGAGGAAGCGCTCGAGGGAGGTCGCCCAGATGAGGGTGTCGAGGATGCGCTGCTTCTCGGCGGGTGAGGGTGCGGAGGCGTGGTATGTCTCGACTCGTTGGCGGATCCAGTCGCGTTTTGCGGGGTCGGAGATGTGGCGGTACTCGACGCCGAAGGAGCCAGAGTAGATCTTCTCGCAGGTGGCGATGATGTCGCGGAGAGACATGGATTTGGTGGTGCTGGCGAGGTGGGGAAAAAGGTCTGGGCCAAGGGGGATCTCGCGGTCGAGGTCGGCTGTGGTGAAGCCGTACTTGCTGAGGTTGGACGAGATGGGGAGCTCGGGGTGAGCGTGGATCGTGCCGTTGTCGATATCTCCCAGGGGATTGATCTTGGCTTTGGTATGACCGTGTTCTTGGAACGCGTGTACGATGCTCTGGGCTTTGAGATAGTTCACCGCATCACTACTTCCTGCCGCGCTGATGACCGGTGTATCTTCTGTATACCGGCTTGACATCAAGCCGGGTGGGGGTGTGAATGCCTGCGTTGACGGCACTGTCGGGTCCTCCATGTTGCGGAAGTAAGTCTGCCAGGAGACGTGGACGTCTTTGGGGTTGGCCTTCCATGCTAAATACATCTCGTCGACGTAATTTGCCGCCCCGCCTTGTAGGAAGGAATCAATTGGGCTCTGAGAAACAAGGTCTCGTCAGTAGAGCGTCAGAATATGATCAGTGTCTGGAAGATATTCTTACAGGAGGCGCTCTGAGGTCGACAGCTTCTGCTGCCGTGGCATATGACCTGCCCTTTAGCGGCGAAAGGGACCTTACTCCGCTGGAAAAGCATGCTTGCTGTAACTTGGGGACGAGGCTCATTCGTGACGGGTGATGGCGCCTGGCACAGGTCGAGGTTAAACTTTGAGGTGCCGCGAGTGCCCCGCCGACCTCGCATCGGGAGGCAGCTCTTAGTGATCGGAGCATGATGAAAGATGCTCAAAATGTGTAACTTAGGAAATATGGTGGGGTCCCGAGAGAGTCTTGGGGGTTTCTATTGCTTGATGTCATGGAGGAGTCATGGACTGATCTCCAAGACAAGCAGATATTAGGAGTATGGCAGTTGCATGTACTGACTAGAAAGCGTCCGCAAGCTTCAAAGGCGACGTTGATAGACGCTGTTACTCCCCGGCAAAGATCTGGCTCCCAGGAACTGCCAGTGATAAATCGCGGGACGGGCCATAAACAGACCGAGGTCGGCTACTTGAAATGTTAGTGACCGAGACTGAATGCAAATCTGCTAAGTCCCCCAATTCTCTCCGGCTTTCATACTTTCCCATACATTAATCGGCAGACGTTATCAATCGCTGAAAGACTGGTGGGCCGGCCGACGCTGGTGTAAGATGTGGTCCCCGGATGTTGGAGCCGAGACTTGCGGTCCACCGGGACCAGTTCCCGCAGTACCAGCCAGGACGGCGACCGGCGTGGAGGCGGAGGGGGCAAGTCAAAGTAAGGCGCAAAATCTCCCCGCATTCAAGAATGACCACAATCTTTACTTGGCATACATGTGGGGGTTTTGGAGTGGGCAGGACATCTTGAACAGCAGGGGCATGTGGATGATGCAGCTTGGATATCGAACTCGTACGACAGCTCAACTGTGCCAGTGTCTTCGAGAAACAGGGGTAAATGGGCTTGAACCAGGACAACGCTGGGCATTGGATTCTTCCAATTATCTACGACCAGACCTTCTATGATGCAGCAGTGTACGCCTCTCCGATGCCAATGCCAGGCAATGCTATCCCGCCCAGGTACAAAGAAAAGTTTACAGATATAACACGGGGCGCAGCAGCCAGCCAGCCTCCCCCCACCAGCTGTTGTGCTATGTACCTACCCCCCTGGCTTCTATACGCAGCAGATTAGGCCAGGAGGAGTCTGGCGGGGTCCTCGATGTAGCTCTTGACGACGTTCAGGAAGGTGACGGCCTCGCGGCCGTCGATGAGGCGGTGGTCGTAGGTGACGGTGATGTACATCATGGGGCGGATCTCGAGCTTGCCGTTGACGACGACGGGGCGCTCCTTGATTCCGTTCATGTTGAAGACGGCGGCCTGGGGGTAGTTGATGACGGGGGTGCCGAAGAGGGAGCCGAAGATGCCGGGGTTGGAGATGGAGAAGTTTCCGCCGTCGAGGTCGGGCATGGTGAGCTTGCCGTCGCGAGCCTGTAATCATGTTGTTAGCGTCTTGTCATGTTTTTGAGTGTGAGTGCAGGAGGCTTACCTTGGCGGCGAGCTCAGCAACACCGCGCTCAATGCCGATGATGTCGAGGCTCTCGACGTTGCGCAGCACAGGGGTAATCAGACCCTTGGGAGCAGACACGGCGATGCTGATGTCGACGTAGTCACGGTAGGTGATGACCTCCTTATCAGTGTCGATGGAGGCGTTGAGCTGGGGGACCTGCTGGGCAGCCAGGCAGGTGGCCTTGGTGAAGGCACCCATGTATCCCAGCCTGACGCCGTGGCGCTTCATGACGTCCTCCTTGTTGCGCGCACGCCACTCCATGAGGGCGGACATGTCAACCTCGTTGATGGTGGTCAGGGAAGCGGTCATGTTCTGGGACTGCTTGAGCTTGGCGGCGATGGTCTTGCGCATGCGCGTCATCTTCTCGACACGCTCGCCGCGGGAGAAGAGGCCGGCGGCGCCGAAGGGGGCAGCCTGGGGAGCGGGAGCAGACTCGGCGGGCTTCTTCTCCTGCTTAGGAGCGGGAGCGGGCTTGCTCTCCTCCTTCTTGGGAGCCTCGGGCTCCTTCTTCTGCTCCTGGGCGGGAGCGGGAGCGGCCTCAGAGGACTCGGCAGGCTTGCTAGCTTCGGGCTTGGGCTCCTCCTTCTTGGGCGCAGGCTTCTCGCCCTCAGGGGCGGCGCCGGTCTCGACGCGCGCAAGCTTCTGCCCAACCTCGACGGTGTCGCCCTCAGCGACGAACAGCTCGACGATGGTTCCCTCCTCAGAGGCGTTGACGGCAACGTCGATCTTGTCGGTCTCGATGCTAGCGACCTCCTCATCGACCTCGACACGGTCGCCGACCTGCTTCGACAGAGAGGCAATGGTGCCCTCGGTGATGGACTCGGCCATGGGAGGGACGACGATGGTCATCTCGCCATGCTGGATTCGGGTGGAGGAGAAGGAGCGGTATTGCGACGAGGTCAGAGCAGGGTAGGAAGCTCGGGGTATCGTTCTCGTGGCGATGGATCGGACGGCGGTCGTTTTTGAGGCGACGTTGGGGGAGATGTGAAGGCGGGCTATGCCGGCGATTCTCGACGTCGTGGAGGGCCTGGCCAGGCGGCCGGCGGTCTGGAGCTGGGAGCGCATCATCTTGGAGGTTGAAGGTTGAATGAGCGACTCCTCAAGATCAGGGGTGCATCGAAGGGCGGGTTGGGAGAGGTGTTGAACGTGTTGGGGACTGCGTTGCGAACGAGAGGGCCCGGAAACGAGGCAAAATTGGCGAGGCAAAATTGGCGAGGCAAAATTGGGCAAAGAGCTCTGCCGTGACGGGTGACAGAATGCGCCGCCGCTTTACTGGGGGTAGCTCCTTCCTACCTGAACTGTTTTGGGACCTGGTGACCCTGCTAAACATAGCAGTGCCAAGCTTGGAAGGTCCTTGTGATCACATATGCAGCCTCTATCAATTCATGAACTAACTCTACGATTTTTCCACCATCAAAGAGCATCATCCATAGATACCATTTGCTTCTTCTACTACTATTCTCTCTCTGTGTTTACTTCAACAAGGTCGAATTTCCTTAAAGCAGCCCGCCGTTGTGGGAAGAAATCGGAAGCTCCGTGGCGCCGGCTGGTCCCTGTTTTCAAAAGACGTTGCGTCATTGGCCAATCGCCCTTTCGCTTCCGAGATTTTGACAGCGGCCGGAGCCAGGGTACGTACCGCCCCGTCTTCAAGCCCGCCGACCTGCAGGGGTTTTCGGCTTCTCTTACTCATCCCTTACACTGTACCCGGCCAGACGGCTTCTTACTCTCCGACCATCGACTTCCAGGGGCCGTTTGTTGTTTATCTTCGGTAAATCGTTTGTACGCGGTGGGGTTTTCGCGTCTTGGTCATCAATCATCAGCGGGTCCTCGGCACGTTTTTGGTCAAAAATGGGTTTCGGCCGCAACATCCGACGCTTACTTTTTGTGCCTGCATCGGATGCATCCGATTTGACGAATTGCTGTGATCAACACGAACTTGACCACGACGCTGAAGATGTTCGTCACCTCTGCGCCAAGGCGTGATTCAGGCATATTTTCTAATTGTTGAGTTTTTTTTATACAGAGGCATTTTGAAACATCTTCCACTGTCTGGTCGTTACAAGATTCTGCTGAGGTGGGATCAAATAAAACAGGAGACCATGCCTTCGCTGAGGATCACGGTCAAAGTTTTGTGGAAAAACCACGCTAGAATGTCTGGATAATAGCTTCAATTGACGCAAGAAGTTGGATTGAAACACTGTCACGGAATCATTACGAGTCGGTCTCTCCTATATGGAAACTGACTTACCACGGAATCTCAATATCCTCACTAGAGGGTCCCTCAAGGAGTCTACAAGTTGTACCTGAACGCCTTGTCCTGCACATCCGTCAAGTCAGAATCAACAGCGACGCCCATCTGCACCGCCTGTTCGCCTCCATCATGTCCGCCAACCATGTACTCATAACGCCCCTCACCAGCAAGCCTATCTCTCTTGGCATTCTCCTTCTTGATCGCGAACCCATACACCGCGTACGTCACGATTAACGCGACCCAGCTGGCGATACTGAGAATGCAGCCCTTGGTGTACCTTGGCGCGTCTGACTCCGTCCACGCCTGCGGGGAGACGATGCATCCGATGCAGTACACGATGAAGAAGCCCGCACTAACCACGCTCTTCTTGGTGTTGCCCTTGACGTTCGACGCCATCATGGCCGCCGAAGAGCTGAGAAGCGAGCTGCAGCAGGCGGCGAGCCAAGTGCTCGCCACGATGCCCCATTCGTAGCCTTTCGCCGGAAGCGCAAGCAGCATCGTAGAACCTAGCAAAGGGGCCAGACACAGACCCATCGAGGTGTAGACTCGGGTGCCGGGAAAGAACCTTGGCACAAGAGCGGCCACCCAGATCGTGACGAAGCTGATGGCGCCACCAGGAAGGCCTACCAACATGGTCTGGAAGGGCGAGTATCCAAATCCGTTGACCACAAGCGACGAAAACTGCTCAAAGTCAGCAACAAGTCTCCCACCAAATGACCAAACGTACCTTCAGAATCGGCGTCGTTAACGTAATGCAGAGCGCCATCATGAAATACATCCACACCATAGGCTGCTTCAGCGCCTCCGTCATCTGCTTCCCATTAAACTCCGCCCGATCCCTCGTCCCACGATCCACCGCCAACCGCAACGTCGCCACCTTCCTCTCCCTCTCATTCAAAAACCACGCCGTCGTCGTATCCCGCGGCATCAGCACGCAAAACACAACACCACACGCCGCCGTCAGCCCTCCACTAAGCAAAAACATCGCCCGCCACTTTTCAATCACCATCTCCTTCGCGCCGCCGATGCCGTACATCATGAGCGCGCCGAGGATCTGGCTCACACCCGACATGGACACCCACGTGGCGACGCGGATCGGGTGCTCGCGGCGGCGGTACCAGTTGGACGTGATGATGATGAAGGCCGGGGAGACGGCGCCCTCCGCGAAGCCGAGGAAGAAGCGCGCGGCGGCGAGGGTGTGGAAGTCGCGAGTTGCACCGAGGGTCATTTCGACGCCGCCCCAGATGATGATTGTCACGCCGACGAAGAGGGTGATGGGGAGCCGGGACATGAGGTAGGCGGCGGGGTACTCGGAGCAGAGCTGGCCGAAGTAGAAGAGGGAGATGACCCAGGAGAAGTCCTGTCCTGTGAGGCGGAGGTCTTTGCGGAGGCCGAAGACGGAGGCGTAGTTGATGGATTGTTTGTCGAGGTCTGTTGAAACTCATTGTTAGCAAAAGTCACAGAAAATATAGTTGCCAAAGGGCGTAATACATTGGAAGAAATAGACGAAAGCCATCAGGGGCATCAGAACTCTGTCGAGCTTCCGGACCAAAGCGCGCTCCTCTTCGGGGCTGATTTGCTCAAAGGCCACGTGCTCTTCATCTTGTTTCTTCGTCATCTCGAGCTCCTCAGCCGTCACGGCGAGCTGGGCATCGTCCGGCTTGGTTGCCATTGTTTTGTGACGGTGAAGTTTCGAATTGACGTTGTTTCACAAGGTCGGCTAATGCGGTGGTTTGTGGACTACAGGGTGCGCGGCTTGTGAAAAGTTTCAACGGAGTCCTCACCAACGACGCCTCGGAGGTGTGAAGACCAACATTCTGAGTTTGAAAGAGCTGGACCTGTTATATACCTGATGGAGGTTGTCGAGCGGGTCATAGACAAAACGGCAACTTGGTATGCTCAGAGACCCCTTAACCCCGGATCTGTGCAAAGCGGGGGGTTGCCCCAGCTCTCTCCGCACATCCGGGGAAGTAGCCGCGTCCACGGAACTAGCCAAGAATTGGCACGAGTCTTAGTCGCTTGTTCTTTCTGGGGTAATTCAGTGGGATAGTCTGAGACGTGTGTCGCTTGATGAACCCGAAGCTAACCCCTGGTAAGTGGTCCTTTTCGGTGACGACATCCGAGGTGCCCATAAGCCACAATGATAGTGGCATATCAATCTGTAGTTGGAATGCAATTACTTGATCCACCTAATAACATGCTTGAGCTCACCTGAGAAAGACCAGCTGACGGTAGTGTCCATGAGGAAAAGTGAGCACATGCAACTGGAGAGCTGGCAGTTAATGGATATGGGTGTCAACTATGCGTGCGTGTGCCAACGCTCCGCTCAACAAGCTAACCATGTTGGACAAGGTTCATTGGAGCCTATGCGTAATCTTAAAGCAACCTAAAAGCATGAACCTAAAAGCATGACCAATCATCTTTATGGCAATTTAATTGTCGTGGTCTCGGGATGGCTTTACCCACCTAAACGTCGCTGTAGTAACTCCTCGGGCAAACCGAAAATATAAAGGGACTGTACTCGCAGACCAGTCAGAAGAGTTGGATTATTGTTATAGGACGATCATCCGTCGACATCCAATGATCGTTGCAGTTCCTGGTGAAGCGCCAGCCTGATTTCTTGTCAGCCGCAAAATCAGGCTGCCTGCCAAGACAACCCCTCTTTCATACTCTCGATTATCACAGAACATCTTTCTGCTCGTCCTCGGGGTGTTTTTTGATAGAGCTCATCGCAAAAGGCCCCCTTCCGTTACAGGCTTCGATGAGCCATGATGACTACCCAACTTCCAGGTCTCCGACGCAAGGACTTTCATGTCGCAATCATCTGCGCCGTTGACTGCGAGTATGACGCTGTTATCTTTACCTTTGATGAGATTTGGGACGGACTTGAATTCCGACTCGGGAACGCGCCTGGGGACCACAATAAATACGAAGTCGGCCGGATCGCGAACCGCAACGCCGTTCTACTGCTGCTTACGGGTATGGGCAAAGCCAATGCAGCAAGCGGGGCTGCCAGCCTTCGATCGAGCTACACCGAGATTAAGTTGGCAATCGTGACGGGCATTTGTGGAGGGGTGCCAGGCGTTGGGACCGACAAGGAACTTCTGCTTGGTGACGTTGTTATAAGCAAATGCATCGTCCAGTACGACCTAGGAAGACGGTATGCGGACCGATTCGCTACGAAGGATGCTATCGAGGACAGCCTAGGAAGACCTCACGAGAGCGTTCGCTCCGTTCTTTCAGTTTTCGAGATGAATTCCGGGCGGGATCATTTGCAGCACCGAACAAATCAAATACTACGAGGCATCCAGGAGAAGACAGGTCACAAAGGAGCTCTATACCAACGCCCTCCCACAACAGAATATCGTCTTTTTGAACCGGGATATCTCCATAGGCACCGAGACTCTCGATGCTGCGAGTGCAGTGAACGTGGAGCGAGTGAAGCCGCACGTCAGGCTCCGTGTGATCAACTTTACTGTGACACCTCTCGTCTTCTGTCTAGGCCACGCCACCGAAAGAGGAAATTCCTGGATCTAGTATGCAATAACACGGCCGCACATGAGCTTCGTGTGGTCGTTGGGCGGCTAGGATCTGGCGATACGGTGATGAAGTCCGGGCTAGATCGCGACCAGGTTGCCCAGGAGCAAAACCTCATCGCATTTGAGATGAAAGGAGCTGGCATTTGGGACCGATTCCCTTGTGTTGTTGTCAAGGCAGCTTGTGACTATTCAGACAGCCATAAGAACAAGAAGTTCCAGAACTTTGCTGCGGCAAGGGCGGCCTCCGCAATGAAGGCAGTTTTGGAGGCTTTCCCATGCGCTGGTAGTCCATCGGAATGTGAGTAACCAGCCCTGAGTACAAAACATTTACTGATAGATTGCCGGTTCTAGCGAATCATATTGACAACCTCAGCCTCCTACCGACAACCGAAGCCTCATATGATGATGAAGAGACTACTGAAAAGAAATTGAAGAATCGCCGAAAGTTGCTTGAGTTGCTTGCCGCAGATCATGAAACACAGAAGGACTTCAACCCCCAAAAAGCCCCAGGAACGTGTGAAGGGTTTCTCAGGGACCAAAGATATCGGGAATGGCTTGAAAGCACCGCGTCAAGCATCATATGGGTCTCTGCCGGCCCAGGCTGTGGGAAATCTGTGCTGGCACGGGCTTTGGTTGATCATGGCCGACTTTCAACAAATCTTGCAAACACAACAGTTTGTTACTTCTTTTTCGAGGACGGCTACGAACGCCGTGTGAATAGTCATGACGCAATCTCCTCAATCTTGCATCAACTTTTTACCAAAGATCAGAAACGGTCTCTGATCAGGCATGCAGATAATGCTTACGAGCATTATGGAACCAGCCTGCGAGACAACTTTCATCAGCTCTGGGAGATCTTAGTAGCTTGAGCAAGCCAGCCCGAATCCGGAGAGGTTGTCTGTGTTCTGGATGTCTTGGATGAATGTAACAAAAAAGGCCGCCAAGACATTTTCGAGGTGCTGGAAAGATTCTACTTTGGCGAGCAGAACCATGCCAACTCATCAAAACTCAAGTTCCTCATAACAAGCAGGCCGTATGACGATCTGGAGATGTCCTTTGAGACGATGGCGACTGCGGAATCATATATCCGTTTGGACGGCGATGATAAGTTTGAAGAGATTCGCCACGAGATTGACCTTGTTATTGACCACAAGGTCAGAGAGTTTGGAAAACACTTCCGCGAAGAGCACCACCGAGCAATCTCAGAACGTCTTAAGGCCATGGAGAACCGCACCTATCTCTGGCTTCATCTCACGCTCAGCATCATTGATGAAAAACGTAGCGCATATCGCAAGCCCTCAAGTGTTCAGACGCTGCCTTCTAGTCTTCCATCTTCAGTATTTGATGCTTACGAGAAGATTTTGAGCCGCAGCCAGGATGAGGAGCAAGCGAGAAACCTTCTCAACATTATTCTCGCTGCCACGCAGCCTTTGACACTCAACGAAATCAACTGGGCCCTGACGTTACAGGCAAAAGACTTCATGAACCAGAAAGAACTTGAGGATGATATATGGCCTCGTGAAAGTCTGAAAATGACAGTGAAGAATCTTTGTGGCCTTTTTGTCAGTGTATTTAACGAAAAGGTTTCCTTCATCCACCAGACAGCCCGGAAATTTCTCACGACAACTTCTAGGCTATCAAACACTTGGAAAGGTAGCTTTGACATGTCTTATGCACATGGGACAATTTTCACCTCCTGCATTCGTCTGCTGTCACTACAAGACGCTCCATGGCCCCCTTTTATGACATACGCTCATCACAACTGGGTGCTACACTACAGGTCACAGGAAAGTTGGAGAAGAGATACATTCTGTAAAGCTGCTCGTGAGCTCTGCCGTACCCATGAAGGAATTGGAGGTTGTGTGCTAGACGGCGCAGATTTGGTTCTTGCAAGCTCTTTAGGGCTGCTCGAGGTAGTGGAATATATGCTCGAGGATGAGAATATTGATGTTGACTCCGAAGGGGAGTACTTTGGTACAGCTACTCTGGCTGCAACTGCAGGGGGCCATCTCCCTGTTGTTAAATCACTGATTCAGCACGGCGCTAGTAGGGACATTGAAGGTGAACGCTATTCAACGGCCCTCGAGGCCGCTGTCAGTGAAGGACATTTGGAAGTGGCAGAATGTCTTTTGGTGGATAGAGAAGATCCGGTTACCGAAGAAGTTCTCATAGCAGCTGTAGAAGATAGCGGTGATAGGGAACCCGTTGCTTGCGTGATAGAAAACGCGCGGAATTTGGTCGAGATCAACGAAAAGGTAATGATCGCTGCAGTTGAAAATGAAGTCGGCGGAGACGATATCATGGCTTACTTGTTAAATAGGTGCAGGAATGGAATTGACATTACGGAGGAATTGTTGGTGGCTGCAGCTCAGAATAGGAGTTGTGGGGACAAGATCATCGCCCTTTTGTCGAAGAGAGGGGCGATCGATTGAATGTTCAGCCAGCACTTGTTGTGGAGGCAGTCTCTGGCGGGAACCATATAAATGATGTAGATGACACCGCCGTTGATCAGCAGGTGTGGGGTAGAAGGCATAGCTTTGTTGCTGCAGAAGCGTGGAGAGGAAGTATATATCATCCAGGAGCTCGTCGTGGCTGGATCGAAAGGCCGATCCAGGGATATGATGCAAATCCTCTTTGAAAATTACGAAGGCAATTCTGAATTGACAATTGAACTCATTCTAGCCATAGCGAGAAGTGCGTTTGAGGAACGGAAGATGATCGCTTTAATACTCACTAGTTAAGGGGGTGAGGGGATTCTTCACGCAAGAAACTGTCATAACGGCAGCAAGGTGGTGGTGTTCGGAGGATAATTCAGCTGTATTTCTAATAGGGGTTAACGGCGATGCCAAAGTCACGCAAGATGTTGCTGTGGCTGCATTTTTGAATTATTAAGTACACAGGGCCAATGGCATCCCTCCTGAAGGAGTGCGAAGCCAATATTGAAATTACATATGAGGTCATCTCAGCAGCGAGAAGGAACTCTAATGGAAAAGAGACGATGGACCTGATCCGAGACAGGCGAAGGGATGGAAAAGAGTCTAGATGGCATATATTAGATCTCTTTAGATCCGAAATTAGGGGGTAAAATGTGTTTGCATCAGAGTTTAAAGTTCCTAGCAACGCATGATCACAATCATCACACGTAGGATGACTAGTACGTCTTAGCATTGGATATAGTGCCCAGAACTTCGCACAAAAGCTCAAAGTTTCATGGTTATCAAGCTCAAGGTATGTAGATGCGTACAGATGCAGGTTCAGCCGATGATAGTAGGTTCTAATAAACACAAATTCAGTCCGAGGCATTTCTCGTAAATCCCAAGCCCCGGTTGAGCAATTGCTACACGGATTCAGAAGCCCAACATATATGACTTTCACGGCTGGTTTCCCCACGGAATCTGGTTCTCCAATGCCTCCCAATCCGTCTGCTCAACCCCCGTGAACGAGAAGCCAGGTGTATGATACACCCAGTATAGGCTATTCTCCCCTTCTAACGGAATGCTAGCTAAGTCCGCGCCGCTGAATCCAAAGCTCTGCTGATCATCCTCACCACAGGCCTGAGCCCCGTCCACATCTCCGGATCGCGAACGCGGCCTCTCCATAGCATTGAGTGAAGCCGTGGTCTGCTCAACAACCCCATAGCCGCTCTCAAACGAGAAAGGCTTTGCCAACATGTCCGTCAATGACTGCTGGGGTGTTTGCCCAGTACCATGCTGCACAGGTAACGCTAGGTGCACACACATCTGGTCCAGTTCAGCGAGCCGATTCGCCGCTGCACGGTTCCCCAGACCGACTAGATATCTTAGGATAGATCTGGACCGGTCAATTCCCTTGAAACCCAGATTCTTCCCCGGGTTGATAGCCTCAACTAGCACGAAGATGTACCCCACTGAGAAGGTAGCATCCAGATCATGGAAAGCGTTCTTTGCTAGAATCTCTTTCTTTCGGAGTTCTTGGAGAATGACGAGAGTCTTACTGGCTGTCTCGACACATATCTCAGCGAGGCGTACTAAAGCTGGGCTGACTTCGTTTCGAGCGTCTTCGCGTTCTGGATCCCGGCTGTTGCGGGCCATATACAGCAGAATGGGTCTGACGGTATGTATGACGGCCTGGTAAAGTCAGTCGGATAGGCACCAGGTCATGTGTCAAGTCGTCTCACCATATAAACAGATGTATACAGACTCGAACTAGTCCTTGAAGTTGTGGTTGGTGCGTCCATGAACGGACGCCCAGCAACCAGTACGCCTGCTGGCCTGATCTCCATGAAATACTCAGACGGCATTGTCTTCTCGACCTCGTAGAGAGAGTGAAGGATATTTTGTACGTTGTTGATGAAAGTGGTCTCGGGGTCGTCTTTCTGAGAGTAGATGGCTACCAGCTCATTAGTACTGAGGCCCTGACTCCTGCCTGGCTTCAGAGGGACATACTTGAGGTGATTTTCCCAGTCAGTCTTGCTGTCTTGACGTTGACGCCCAATGCTGTTGCTGATGGAAAGCCGAGAATTTCGTATGGCGGGGCTGTGGTGATGGCGTAGTCTTCAATCGACATGGGATATCCGCCAGCTGCACATAATCTCCTGGGGCGTTCTCAGCCAACCAATTTCTGCTCAACTCACAGTGGGGACATACCTTTCCTGCATGTAGATAGACCACCAAAGCCTATTTCGATGCACATTATCTGATCGCCTTAGACATGGCGCTGAGTTTGCCCTGTGCATGCCATGACTGATGGCGAGCCTCAGCGCGGTGTTAGACTACGACGGCCCATTGTTAGTCATCGTATCTGTGTAGCCCAATGTTTCGTCAACTCACGTGCAAGTAGGCATCATCTTTCCGGTCCGCAATTTGGAGGTAAAGAGCTGTTAAAGCCATCACCTCGACTCCAACGATACCATGCTTCCTCAAATCACTCAGCAAAGGAGTCCGCTTGACTGCCTCCTGAAAGAACCTCGTCCCTGGAAGATCCCCATTTTCATCATCCCTGCTTTGGAGTAGCCTACCCACAGCAAATACCAAAAGGGCTTCCACGATCCAGATCTCAGTAAGCCTCAAATTTGCGCTGGTTTCTTGGTACAGCACGGCGAGGTTATCCGAGAACGCTCGGACATCAAATAATTGCTGCGAGATGCCAACATTGAACACAACAGTGTCCAACATCGCATGCGCCTCATCTTCGGTGGGCCAGGGACCAATAGCTTCAAGTAAGCCGCGACGGTCAATGTGCGGGAGTGGAGTTACGCCGGTGTTCGTCGAAGGACTCGCGGCGGAGCCAGGATTTGAGCGGGACACAAGAAGCGTCTTGATTTCGGAGCCGAAAGTCTCGGACGACGAGAGTGCGGATTCCGGAGCAATGGCTGTCGGAGTCAGTATCCGAGGGTCGACGAGTTGTGCAAATGGACAATTGTGATAGGTCCACTCACCCCTTGCAGTTCGCGCTGGTGAGTACGTGGGCGCGGGCAAGACCTCCACGGCGCGTATCCTCTCAAACGTGGGGGAGAACGTGGGCTGAGACATTGGAGGGCGGAGATCTTCTGGAGAAAGCAAGCTCACTGAGATGCAAGACTCCTCTTGCGGACCCCCACGCAGGACACGAGGCGTTTCCGCCACGTCGTCTGGAGGCATATGCCACCCAGGCGATGCCGGCTGTGGTGATGCCGTTCCCGGGGCGGACCTTTCTCGGTTTTGTCGTTCATAGAAGGCGACTTTGTCTTCAAGCTCCCTGACTTGTCTGATTCGCTCGAGTTTCAAATCAGCCTAGTCTCTTATATTGATGCGGCTCATATTTGGTCGGAGTATTGCAGCACTGGAAAGGGACTCACGAGACGGAATACAGCTTCCTCTTTTCGGACGCTGCAAACACACAATTCAGCCCGCGCTTGGCACAATACTTGCATGGCCGTTGCCCCGAGCACTTGACCTTCTTGTCGCGGCAAATTTGGCACGCATTAGTCGTGCGAGCAGCCTCGGCTTGAGAAGCCGAACGGAAGCGTCTCGCGGCCGGGGCACTGGCAGGCGGGCTGGACGGTTTGCGGGTTCCTCGTCGGGGTGTCGGTTCCGAGTCGACATCCATGTTTGGCAGGCTTCCTCAAGCTCCGCCGCGCCAAGGAGCGATCGCAGTTCAGCTCAGTCAGGGGAAGCGGGTGTTATGGTTTGTTTTTGTGAAAGGGAGACGCATCCGTGGGACTGTTGTCGATGGGACGATGTCGGAAAGTCGCGAGCGGTGGGGCGGAAGGCTTAGAGGCGCTAAAAATTGGGGCTGGTAGGGGCTACGAGCTTTGGGAAACTTCCCCTTCTGGGAAGATACGCGACGTCATGAGCATTCGCTGTAGAGACTCTCGCTCAGCATGCATATTTACCTTAAATCTTCAAGTTCTACTTTCTGAATTTTGCAACGACAATGACGAACAACTGCGGATCACTCAAATTTGGAACTAAATAACTCTCCTACTCCGTAGGCCAAATTTTGAGTGTTCATCCATCCTTTCATTGTTCATTTTTATCAATATCCAAGGAGTCGTCAAGCTTTGTGACTTCCGAAATAATTGCCTGGATGCCTGTTTCGAGTCTCCTCAGGTCCATTACTTAGCTGTCGTACTTATTCCTCAAAGCAAAGCCCTCAACCATGGCCGTCTTTTGTTCTTGTTCTGCTCCTTCTTCATAAAGTGTATACCGTCCTTGGTGTCTTGCTCATTTATGTGCGGTATCATCGGTCGATTCGTGTATCGCCATTGTCGTTGCCTCGACTTCGTCTGATGCTTATTGAACCCATCAACGTCCATCAGAATGCGGCCATCGACATTGCGCTTCACCTCGTCCACGTCAGCAATCGCGATGCCTTTGTATGTGCAACATTCCACGCCGAGGACCAGCCCCCTTTTGCCCCTCTCCAGCAACCGTCGGCGCACAGTTTCGGGTCGTGATGAAACTCGGTTGGATAACACTCCAGTCCAAGAATTGGCTTGTTCCCGGAGAACTCATGGATGGAAATCTCGTGGACCATCCAGACGAAGGACTCGCCGTCGAATCTGAGCGCTTCGCCGTAGATGACGAGGGCTGTGCCAGATTCCGACTTCTTGTACGAAGTACCCACGACCCTGAAGACCATTTTGGTATTGCAGTCGCTGCTGCGTACCATAGTACCGTTGGGGAAATAGGTCCATGCGAGATCGAAGTTGACTAGCCCCCTGGCTTTGAGTTGGTGTGATTGCTTCCGCGTCTCTCCTAGTATGCCGTTAAGCGTAGTAAGTAGGTTTCCCAGATACATCTTCAACAAGTCATCATTCGTATTTTCGCACAGACCAACTATCTCGTCGTAGCAGATGTACAATGGGCGGAAGGGGGGAGTAAAAACGATAGGTTTGCTCCCGTCAAGATGGAAGCCTTCGTTCTCCAGTATCAGTCCTAAGATCTCGATCAAGGCGGGATGCTGTATTGTGATCTTTTGACAAGTAAACCGAGCTTTTCCGTTAATCGCTGGCTTGTCTTTATGCTCGACCATTAAAACGTCGACGGCGGGCTGGAATTTGCCTTGATCCCACCTCTTGCCCATCTGCATCGGAGTATGGCCGGCCAATGAATAGACGGTAGAGACATGACGATCCTCCGCATACTTGGTGGTCTTGACGATTGTATGAGCGGGATATCTCTGTGGTACGTCACTCGGAGGGTCGATATATCTATGCGTTGCCTTCGTTTCTGGAATGCTGCGACGCCTCACGTTCTCGGGCCTGATCTTGCGGATCAGGATGAGTGTCTTTACTGTTCCGAGTAAATCCATCTTTCCAAAAGACGACAGTGAGTTGACGAGAAATAATCTGCGGCGCGAATAGTTTGCGAGTGAGCACAGATGATCCAATGGTATTTTGATGACAAGGGATGGATGGAGGGGGATGGAGATCAAAAGTAGTTTTATGCGTAAGTGTAGACAAACCCATAGAGGTTCTCACATCCTTTGAAAAAAATTGAACCTTGAAACCAGCGGATGACCAAAGAGGTCCCTCCTGTAGGGTTAAGGCTGCAAACTGGCGTTCGTGAAATCTCGGGAGGACCAGGTAAGAGGCGGCCTATGCACAATTTGAGACGCATTGGCATCTATTGCTGTCGACTCGATCAAAGTACGAGGGATAGCCGTCGACATGTAGGTTGAAACACTTCCTTCAAGACAGAATTCAAATGGTGTACCGGAAACCTTTGTCCTGAACATCCGTCAAGTCGGAGTTCACGACTAGTCCAACCTGGTCATTATTCCACGGAATATTCGCTGAAAACTCAGACCGCCCTGCATTAGCCTTGGAATCTCGACTTTGGTTCTTCGCTTTCACAATGACAACGTATTCGGCAAACGTCAGGATGAGACACACCATCGCCGCAATGCTCAAAATACAACCCTTCCGGTATCGTGGCGCATCGTCCTGTGTCCATGCTTGCGGGCTCACGATACAGCCCACGCAGTACGACACGAAAAAGGCTTCTGACACTATGCCTTTCTTAGTATTTCCTTTGACGTTGCTTGCAATGATGCTGGCTCCAGTACTCAACAGGGCTGAACTGCAACCACAAGCCAAGTTGAGACGACAATGCCCCACTCAGCACCTTCGGCTGGCAGAGTCATCAAGAGAATTGCACCGAGCAATGGCACGAAGCGCAAACTGATCCCGGTATACACCCTCGTTCCTGGAAGCCATCGTGGAATAAGGGCACTGGCCCACACTGTTGTGGTGTTGACTGCCCCCGCGGGCATGCCCACCAACATGGTCTGGAATTTCGAGTAGCCGAAGCCGTTGATGACCGTAGCACTGAACTAAGGAGAAAACTTTCTTTCAGTACATGTCCTTGAATGGGCTTTGTTGGGGTGGCAAAAGGTCGTTCCTACCTTGATGATTGGGGTTGTCAAAGTGACGCATAGGGCAATCAAGCAGTAAATCCAAGTCATCGGCGACATGAGTGTCTCTCGAACTTGAGCTTTGTTGAATTCAGTATGATCTCGTGTGGCTCTATCGATAGCCAGTCTCTGTGTTGCGATTTATCGTTCGCGAGGGCCGAGAAACCAGGCTGTTGTGGTGTCTCGAGGCATCATGAAGATGAAGATGAGCCCCACGGCGGATGTCAGAGCACCGCAAATGAGAAAGAGAGCGCGCCAAGCAGCGAGATGTAGGTTCCCATGTCCAATACCATACATCAGGAGCGCGCCAACAATCTGCGAGACTCCATTCATAGGGACCCAGGTCGCGACTCTGATGGGGTGCTCATTCCGCTTGTACCAGATGCTAGTGATTATTATGAAAGCTGGCGAAACAGTGCCTGCAACATGTCAGATGGATGTCGTCAAAGGCCGAAATAATTATTATTTCACCTTCGGTGAAGCCCAAGAAGAATCTCGTAGCTGCAAGCCCGGCGAAGTCGTGCACAGCTGCGAGGCACATATTTACTCCACCCCAAACAACGATGGTGATGCCAACATAGAGAGCGATTGGCAGCCTTGATAGTAAGAAAGCTGCAGGATACTCCGAACACAGCTGGCCGAGATAGAACAGTGATACGGCCCAAGAAAACTGCTCTCCTGTGAGGCGGAGATCCTCCCGAAGCCCGAAAATGGCAGCCTGGTTGATCGACTGCTTATCGAGATCTATCTGAAGAGATTAGTATCTGCTAAAGCGATTCAAGGACGATGGACTTTTTACACTGAAAGAAGTACACGACGGCCATCAGGGGCATGATGACGGCGTCGAGCTTTCGGACAACCTTTCTCTCTTCATCTGGGTCAATGCTGAAAATTTGTGGTCGGTTTTCAACCTCTTCAGCTCCGAGGTCAATTTCGTTTCCCATCTTTTCCGGTGTCACATTGGAGGATCTTCTTGACATGGCGAAATCTGAAATGGTGAAGGCTGAGGTGTAAAGATCAATTAGAGAAACTGTTGATCGACCAGTATGGCAGCTATGAAGATAAGATATCCCTGAGGCTATTTAAATACCCTAACCTGCTGTCGCTCATGGCTTCAAGGCTTGGCTGCCAGTCTGTGAATTTAATACGATTGCCTGACCTCACACCCGTCCTGCACCCGGGAAAAGGAAATATGGAATCGAAAGCCGAGATATTCAATATCCACGGGTCTCCTAGGCGACGGCCTTAGATGGGAATAATCATTTTCGGCTCTACATCACGCTCTTTCGCAGGAGCATTCAAGCTCCGTGAGATTGCCGATACTGCAATGATCTGCTTGTTGTGGCGGTTACCGAATGGAGACTCCAATTGTGCGTAAGCTGAGAGGTCGTTGCCCGCGTATGTTGTCGTTGGGGAAATCAAACCCAGTTCTTGGCTTGCATGTCAGCCCCGGATGAAAGATCCGTTGCAGCGGTCTCCCAAACCGAGCCTAAGGGGTTGGTTGGTTATCATGAGGTTCTGCCGAGTCTCCCCCGCATCACTCCGCAATTGACCCGGTCAGCCTCCGCATTCCGGCACCCTGACCCGTCCTGACAGCACTCCTTAAATGGACGACTACCAACAGAGTGAATACACTTGCTATTGGCAACAAAAAACACCGTCGAATTAATGCTGCAACATGCGGACCATGTCCTCGCTCAGATCCTCCGTTCGACCCATTCCAAGACGGGCTCCATCCTATGGGTTCCCGGCTACAAGGTTACTGAGTAATAATCCCTTCAGATTCAAACCCCATAATACGGAAGACTCTAGCAGCGCGAGACACGAAAGACGGAGTACAAGCTGGCTGAACCCAGCGTCTCTCCTGTTAGCCACAGCCGCAGCGACTCTGGGGTACGCGGTCGCAAAGAGTGTCAACAAGTCACCAACAACAAACGCGATTTTACACGATGACAGGTTGCCGGCGGTTAACTATGCAACGTTCAACGACATGGACAAAGTAAGTCTTTGTTTCTGAGTATCGTAATACAGTCACACCTGACCCATACAAGGCCGTTGATGAAATCCGACGGGAGCTGAGTGACACAGAACACGTCATCTCAACTGATACTGAAGACCTCCTCGCTCACAGTTACTCAGAGTGGTCTTCCGTCAACCTCGACACTTTACCAGTTGCTGTGGCTTACCCCCGAAGCACGGAGCAAGTCAGTGCTATCGCTCGCATCTGCCACAAGTGGCGGGTACCCATTATCCCCTTCAGCGGTGGCAGCAGTGTCGAGGGTCACATCACAGCGCCCTTTGGCGGCGTAAGCATTGATTTTGCACACATGGACAAGATCGTGAAGTTCAACAAGGATGACATGGATATCGTAGTGCAACCGAGCGTTTGTTGGACGGACCTCAATCAACAGCTTGCCCAGCAACACAGCGGGCTTTTCTTCCCCATCGACCCCGGTAAGAGTCCATCCTCCAGGTAACGGTAACATCAATGCGGGCAATAAGACTGAATCCTTGACTCTTCTCAGCCCCAAGCGCCAAGATCGGAGGCATGATAGGCACAAACTGCTCTGGCACAAACGCTGTACGCTACGGCACGATGCGAGACTGGGTCATGAACCTGACGGTCGTCCTTGCAGATGGATCCGTCGTCAAGACTCGGCGCCGCCCGAGAAAGTGCTCTGCGGGGTACAATCTTAATGGCATCTTCGTTGGCTCGGAGGGCACCCTTGGAATCGTCACGGAAGCAACTCTAAAGCTTGCCGTTGTCCCACACCACTTCTCCGTCGCAGTCGTTCCCTTCCCGACCATCAGACAGGCCGTCTCAGCTGCAGCAGACGTCATACGCGCTGGGGTGCCAGTCGCGGCTCTGGAGCTCATGGATGAAGTTCAGATGCGTATCATCAACCAGGGCGGTGCCACGAGGCCACGGGTCTGGCAAGAAAAGCCAACCCTATTCTTCAAATTCTCCGGTACACAAACTTCCGTCAACGACAACATCAGCAGCGTTCAGCGAATCGTGGAGCCTTACAGCCCTGACGTCTTCGAGTTTGCTAAAGATAAGCGTGAGCAGAAGTTTCTGTGGTCGGTCAGGAAGGAGTCGCTCTACTCGCTGCTAGCTATGCGCAAGGAGGGTGAGGAGATGTGTAAGTGCCTCCCCCTGGCCCCCTTTCCGTGCTGCCCAAAACTTACTCCGCACACTCCACTTGCCATAATTGCACAGCATCAAAATCATCCAGAAACAAAAACTGTCGTGCATGCCGGTGGGGGCTAATAGCTGCCGCTCATGCTGCGTTGGCTGACACGAGAAAAACATTGCAGGGAACACTGATGTTGCCGTCCCTCTCAGCCGGCTGGCCGACATCGTCGAGGCCAGCAAGGACGAAGCGCAAAAACTTGGTCTCAACGCCTGTATCAAAGGTCACATTGGCGACAGCAATTTCCACGAAAATATCACCTACAACAAGACCATACCTGAAGAAGCCGCCATGGCCAAACTTGCGGTCAAAAACATGGTCGCGCGCGCGTTAGAGATGGACGGCACCTCGACGGGCGAGCATGGAATAGGTTTGGGCAAGAAGGACGCCCTGTTGTCCGAAGTAGGAAATGATACGATTACCGTTATGGTGTGTTGGACCCTGAAGGCGGGGGTTGCTGGGGACATCCCTCTCGGCGATCGGGCTGACCTTTGCTTTTCCCGCCATGCAGAAGCTGATCAAGGGCACCCTAGACCCCAACTGGATCTTGTAAGTGGCTGACCCGCACGAGTCGGCACAGATCCTGAGAGTGTGCCATGCGCTAACAGCGATTCATGTCCCAAGGAATCCAGGAAAGATATTCGACCGGTAGGTTTACGGGAGAAACCAGCAATGACGAAACCATGTTTTGTATGTCGCAAGCCCAAGCTCAAAGTCTCACAAAGCAATTCGGCTGGTGGTTCCACATCCAGCTTTATATCAGAAGAGCCGTTGCAATTGATATGACCCCCGAGTCAGAATGCGTAACACATGTTTTGTTTGTTGTACCAAGTGCGACTGCCAGCCACACTGGGTAACGGTGGACAAGGGGCCCCGATGTTCCCCGTTCGTCAGGTCCGAACGGGCCCTGAATTTGTTCCCATTAATTTTTTTTCTGCCCTGCTTTCTTTTATTATTCCGACCGCCGTTCCACCACGTTCCTTGTTTGGCTTTGTCCAAAAACCCGGATTTTTGAGGGGGAAAACATGAGATTTCCAAGGCCCAGGGTAGCACCCGGGCTGGAGCACACCCCTCTCCGTTTGTAACGGTCGCTAGCCTTTCCCTCCCCCTTTGTACTCTGACAACCGGCGGGTTCCCGCGTTGTTGGGCACAAACGGCGGCAGTGCAATTGGGCGGCTTGAGACCAACAGGTATAACGCATAGTCTAAGACACAATACATATCGTCCCAATCATCGTGGTCCCCATTTTCCAAAGTTAGAAAGGGTCAGATTCCCGACAATGAACTAGTCATGCCATCGGGTCATCACGTTGTGATCTGCGGTCCCCTTTATGCCTCCTGCCGCAGAGGCAACATCCTGGCCCGCGCGACGCATTGCGCGACTGTCTGCGCGACGGCCATATTTACCCAACCGCGTGCGCCCCCAAGCCGGACGGCCCTTCGACGGGCAGAATTGAGACTTTAGGACGAACCTCAGATGAGATACGATATCTGGCGGTTCGGCTGCATCTAAGACGCCTCGCTTGCTGATCTCGCTGATCACCTTGTCTCTTTTCTCCTCGGAAGCCCATCAACACTATCAAATCCTCAAACGACAGGTTCATCATGTCCACTTGCACTATGGTGCTTACCGAGCCCCTCACGGGGCTCATCTCTTCACCCACCATATACCTTGACGATAAGGGCGATCTTAGGCTGCATGTTGGCAGCGAGATTGACGAGAGCCCCCAAGATTTTGTTGTTTGCTCAAGGGCGCTCGGCCGGAGTTCCCCGGTTTTGAAGACAATGTTATTCGGTGGATTCATGGAGTCGCGCCCTGAAGAAAATGGTGGAGAATGGCGTGTTGAGCTTCCCGAAGATGCGACAGAAGCCATGGAGATTGTTCTGAACATCGTCCATGGCCGATTCAACCTGGTTCCTGAGAAGCTTACCTTAATGCGACTCTACGACGTCCTGACCATTACCGAGAAGTACGACATGACCGTGATCACGCGACCATGGGCACGTTCTTGGATGCAGGGCGTAAAGCATCAGAAAGATAATGCGCACCTGCTGTGTGTTGCATGGGAACTCGGCGACATGGAGACTTTCGAGGAGATGTACAAGAAAATCACCTTTGAGTCCATCGTTGACTTGAAGGGTCGGTTGGTCTTCGGACACTCTGGCCGAATTTGGAAGCAAGGAACGGAAGGCTACAACTTTCCCCTCGAGAGGATCGTGTATCTGAGGCCTCCTGAAGTCTTTGGTAAGTCACCCTTGGATATCACAACTACCGACAAGAGCTAATTCATATCTCTTCGCAGAAAACATCATCAAGCACCGCCAAGCGTTGATCTCCGCCAACCTCGAACCGTTCGTCATCCTGTACAGATGCCTTAAGGAAGGCTGCCGATACATGAAGGGGTACTATCACAGTTCACCAGACGCGGAAGAGTGCAATAGCATGCTTCTGGGTTCTCTAGTCAGATGCCTTGCAAAGGGCAAGGTAGACATCACCGTGCCAGGCCCTTGCGAGGCCTACAGAGGGAATATCGAAGCACTGGAGCGGGCAACGAGCACTGTCAAGCTGTTAACAGTCCACCGGCCCTCCCCGGCAAATCAATGTTTGAAGCGCATAGAAGAGGAGTTGGCAAAGGGCGCTACGGCAGCGGCAATTGCGAAAACAGAGTTGGTCGTTCTTCAACCGGAGCAACGGGAATACCTTCAAAAGCAAGCCTGCAAAACTGGAGTTGTCATGTCCGGGTAGAGTTCCTGGCGATCGGCATGGGAAAATCTTGGGTTCGGTCA